AAAGGAAAAAGCAAGATCCTCAAATACAATACGGAGAACATCAACTCAGTCACACTTGATGATGAAACTCGGGAAGATGTGGAGTCCTTCACGTACCTGGGAAGCATCATCGATAAACAAGGAGAATCGGATGCAGACGTAAAGGCGTGTATTGGCAAAGCAAGGGTCGCATTTTACAACTGAATAACATATGGAACTCTTAGTAACTGTCAACCGCTATCAAATTTAGAATCTTCAATACGAACGTCAAGATAGTCCTACTGTACGTAGCTGAAACGTGGAAAACTACAACCATCATCAGTAAGTTACAAGTGTTTACAAACAATTGTATACGCAAAACGCTCAACATCCATTGGCCGGATACCATCAGCAACAGCCTTCTGTGGGAGAGAACAAACCAGCTTCTAGCTGAAGACGAAATTAGGAAAAGAAGTTCCAAGTGGACAGGACATACATAGCAGAAACCACCAAACTGCATCACGTCAGTCAGTCAGCTACAACGTAGGACCAGGCACATATGTGCATCGGTCCAGGTTGCCATACCGCATCAGCACAACAAGATGAGCACCGGATTCACAGCAGTGGTTAGGTCAAAGGTGGTAATATATAAGAGAAAGATTGCATATAGAGATATAGTACAAGAAAAAAATTGGTTCGTAGAAAGAAAGATATGAAGTGATTTAATCTCTTAGTTTAAGGGAAGACAGCGATTGTATACACCGACGCCATTGTGATCGATTCTGAGCCATGTCACCAAGAGTCTCCAACCATTGGTTACGAAAGTCACGCGGACCCCAACCAAGTAGTCTGCATCTAACAACATGGCTCACACTAAAGTTAGTGTCTTCAAGCACTGATGCCACGTTTTGGTTTGGCCGCCCCTAACTTTCTTCCAACCATCTCCAATACCGGATAGCATTGCACGTCGTGGTAGTTAGTGTTCAGGCATACGTAACACGTGGCCCAACCATCTCAGTCGATGAAGATTCATAACCTCATCAACTGATTTACCATCATTTCCTAATACCCTGCGTCTAACCTCACTATTACTTACCCGGTGATCCCAGCAGATGCCAGCAATATTTCTAAGGCATCTGTGGTCAAATACTAGTAGCTTACGGGTGTCTTCTACTCTTAAGTGCCATGTTTCGCTGCCGTAAAGTAAAACAGAACGAACTGCCGTGCAGTATACCCGAACCTGGGATCCTGAAGGGAAGCGGAAAAGAGGAAGGCCAGAGAACACATTACGTCAGGAAATAGAAGCAGATAAGAAGAGGATGAATAACAACTGTAAAGGATTGCCCAGGACAAGGTTGGATGTAGAGGGCTGGTGGGCAGCCTGTACTACTCTAAAAAGAGTAACAGGGGTAAATAAGTGCTGCAGGGAAAGGGGTCAATAACAAAGTCTAAAGGGTTATGGAATGCCCTAAACCCATCCCTGCCTCCATCAGTAATTTGTGATGAACCCCGGTTGACCGTTTGCAATTACTGCGTTGTCAGGCCTAGTAGTTGACAGTTTTGAATTTCTGTAAGTGATGATTTCCTTAGAGAAATCATAACTTACCTCAGACTCAGTCACATTTTCTGACATGCCTTGAGTCAGTAGACTTTGAAAGGGAACTTCTTCGGTATACCGCTGTGTAGCTTGTTTAGGCGCTGCATATCCGCAGTGTACTGAACGCCTCATTTCCGTATGTACGACTCAAAAGGAAAGGCAGAAAATGACTCTAGACTGCCTTGTTTAATCACCTCTTCAGCAATGTGCTTTAAACCATGCACATTACAGACTAAGTATTCACTACCGTAACAATATTCGTAACTCAATAAGAAGTTGTTCAAATTAACGCGAACACTGTGACCAAATACTAGTAGCTTACGATTGTTTTCTACGCTTAATGGCCACGTTTCACAGCCATAAAGTGAAACAGCGAACTACTGTCTAGTATACTCGTCCCTTAATTTATAGACGGTTATCTTGCCTTCGCCATAGGTGAAGTAAGTTGGCAAAAGCCTAACGAGCTTTTCGAATTCGTGCAGATATTTCTTCAAACGCCAACCCGTTAGGGCTGATCAGACTTCCAAGATAAGTGAAGTTGTCGACGTGTTCGATTACTTCACTCTCTATCTTTAGTTCAGGTGTTGACGCAGGCCAGTCCTGAAGTAACAAATTGCATATAGAGGAGAAACGCATCTCAAGCATTCTGACATTGTTGCTCAGAGCTACCAAAACACTGCATTTTATTAGCGTCTTCACTAAGCAGGACTATATCATCTGCGTATTCTAAGTCTATAAGTGGACCTCCTGGTAGGGGATCAATTCCCTAAAATGCAGTTTACGAGAGCGTTATTTCCAGCAGTAGGTCTATGATGAAGTTGAACGAAAATTGAGATATTGGCTCGAAAATGTAATTTTCAGTGCGACTCCAGGAAACCAGGAGTAACGTTGAATAAACTCTTGTATTTTTTAAAAATTATGTAAACACATACTGATACAAAGGGGTATCAAAATAAACTTGCACTTCATAAATCGTTGAATTTATGTATGGGGTGGAATACTGTCTGGGTGCTCCCCAAAACCTTGTGGTCTCGTCCACAAGAACTTTAGGAGATGCGACCTCATGATAGCCGGTGATCAACAACGAGTTCACACCACATTTGTTTCCTCAAAGTCTTGCAACCCATGTACACAGTTGGTTTGGAATCAGGATTTTTCACTCCCCTTATATGGATCCGTGTTCACCAATTTGATTTAAGCACCGCAAATTCGCTTTTCAAGTTAGCAAACAACGCCCCCGTCACGAAAAGACGGAGTAGGACATTGTTGCCTTGCAAATATTTATGTGACTTACCTAGTTTGAGCCTGCAACAGTATATATGGGTAAGTGCACCATACTTAAATCATTTGTTTTGGTCGCGCGTAGAAAAAAGATGCGACCATAGGAAAGGATTTGTAATAATGATCGACGAATTATCATGTAGTGGAGGTATTTGATCGTAAATAAAATTATCTTATATCTTGTTAGGGGTGTGCCGGTGTTTGTGAATTTCGGAGTTGTAACACAGTGGGGGTACTTGAGGAACTTGAAAGAGAAACTTCATTAGTAGTGGTCTCATCGATCTAAAGGCGTGACCTTACACTTAAGAAATAACTAATCGCAGATGATCATAAAGAGCCTTTTTATGGGTTACTTTTGGTTAGTTCCATACTTTGTTACTGGCGAGAGCGAGAATCTTTAGGGTGCATTTTTTTATACGTGACGTTTTCTAACCTCTTCCTTCTATTGAGAAAAAGTAGTCACTGCAGACCTCAGTTATGTAAAGGAAACATCTTATTGTCTTCGTATCTCAATACAGTTGGAAGTACGATTTCACCCTCGAAACTTAAGTTGTTGCTTAGCGTTGCTTGATTGACCTGTCTGGTATGGTAAAACGTAAAGAAATAAGTGTTCCTATTTTGATTTTGAGTACGATGATTCTGAATAACCGGTGTTTGAGAAACTCTAAAACGGAAGGAGATCTATACTAACTGAATAGAGTGGACGGGGGTTTAATACACAACACTTCAACGATCATTCCATGGACTACTGGAAGAGAAGTCTAGTAAGGAAGATTGATTGGAAAAGACCTCAACGAAACAATTTTTTATGTAACGAAATGACCTTATGTACGAAACATTCACATAAAATGTGCAAGGTACCATGTCATCGACCATTGTAGCGATTTAGTTTGTAAGTCAATCTCCAAGTAGCTAGAATTTGATTGTTAGGCCTGGTCCTCGGTCATCGTATCAGTTCCAGATAGTGTGGTTTGACCAAGTTATTACAGTATCTACGTCTGATCATGTTAAAGTGGCAGGTTCAGTGTGGGCGTATCCCTATTATTTAGTCCATTTCATAGAACACTGTGTGTGTCATAATTCTTACTTATTTGATTACCTCTAGTCGATATATACAAAATCTCTACAAAAGTCCCGTTATCATCCTTGGATGGGGTAGGTGTTCTGTATTAGTCGTCCGGTCTATGTAGTTGCTCTAGATTCTGTTACTAGAAAAGGGTTTAATAGGACTCCCAACCAATTGAAAACTACCACTTTTAAGTAATGCATTCTTATTCAATAATAACAAGTGAAGACTTCCTGCCAACTAATGAAAAATCTATCATATACACAAAGCTGGTAAATTTAAAAATGTTCGTTAATCTTCGGAACATTTTTTAGGAAGCATATATGATTCTTAAATAAAGAAAAGTACGGCAAAACATTCAAAGGAAATTCGCCACCTGTGGTGACTTTAACCAACAAATGTTCTGACATTTTGAAATGGTCAACGTTCGTTTTCAATTTTATATATTCCTCAAATAGAATATCTGTTTAAATAGTAGTTCTTGTTTGACCAGAGGAATAAAGCTCCTAACAGTTTAGACATTTGTACAACTGGTGAATTTTAAACATATATCTGGTTAAATGTTTCTTAAAAATAAATGGTTGTACGTGTCATGTACTTGCAAAGGCTAGGAGTTTTCATTAGTTAACGTTTACATGTAATCTCTATGATTGATTGATGGACAAAAATTAATTTATTTAGCTTGTAGATCGTTTACTAAAAATATCTTATTAATTCGTTTAGCTTTCTGAATAGTTACTTGAATTTAATTCCCAAAATGTCTTTATATTTTATACTAGCTGCGTATAAAATTCTAGACGGTCAAATGGATTTTTTTAACCGAACACCTATCAAAAATGATATCTTGAGTATTATTGGACACGTAAGTCTATTTCTCTTATCATTGCGCTATTCATATAGCTCAGTTCAAGGAAAAAAAGCTCACATCCTCTGTGCACTGGCAACCATCTGATCACGAGTTCCCGTGAAATATGCCATTCTACACTTCATTTGGACGAATCACATAGTTTTCATTTCGAGCACGAAAAATCTGATATAGGAAAAAATTCGTCGTTCACTGTAGAAAATACCAGCGCACCTTCTGGTAAAAAGTCACCAATGCAAGCACTTTTAAAGACTAACTCGCATTGTAATTCAAGTATCCTGGGAAACTCCTACTGTAAAAGTAACAACTTTGGTGATTATGAATCTTTAAACTTCTTTGAACAAAAGACAACTCAGACAGTTTTCAGTGATGATCTCATTGCACAATCATCCGCACTAACTACATCAGTGCTCAAATATAACGTTGATACAAGTACCAAAGAGAATGTTATCCCTAGTGATATCGACGATAATTTCTTTACAACGTTTCTGGAATCCTCCAAAGCTGACGTGGACAAGTCAATTTCTAGTAGTGACTCAAATAAAAAATCACTTGGTCAGACAGCTAACCGTAGTTCTAACAATATCAAATCACATGCTAGCAGTAGTGATGATGATGATGCATTTGAAAACTTTTTAAAATCCCAGCAAACCAAGATAAACAAAATTGAGGTTAATCAAGTCAGTGAATGGTCATCTTGGGATTCTGATGACGATGATAGGTCGAGTTGTGATTCGCCATATCAAACGTTTTACTACAGAGTCAACAACAAGTTGCATTTGTCTGATACCACAAAATTACCGTAAGTTGTTTATTTAACAGAAAGTCTCATGTTTATTATCATATGATATTTCGTCTCTGTTAGACCTCCTGTTTTATTAATCTCCAGGTAGTTAATATGACTATCCTTCATAATAATTGTTACTATAGTTATGTTCTATAATATTGGGTGTATTTTCTCGGAACTGATATTTATCAAGCTGTTGTTTGAAACAAACGTTGGGATACCAGTATTACTTGCTTGGGTTAGTAGTAGTAATGATGGGCATTGATGTATAACAAGACGCCTTTATTTGCAAGGTGTTCAGTGGAAGCTAAATGCTACATGTATGCACTTCATCCCTGTTATGACTTTAGGTTGCTGTCGATTTTTACCCTGTGTTATCGATCGACTACAGTGACACGTAAACACGAACGAACGGCCTACAGTTCTTATTGGTCCTGCTTCCTTGTCCAGCCCAGCCAGTTGAGTCCAGAACACAAGCCACAGCCTCTGAGATATGAATCATATTTCAAACATACTTTGTTTATATACCAATCAAGCATACCACATCGTACCATAAAATAGAAAACAACATTTTGTACAATATTCAACAAGTGGACAGATATCGACCAATAGGAAATATCCATTTAAAGTCCAAGGACACCATTGGACTTAACATGATAATTATTGGTCTATTCCTCCGCATCCACAACAATTCCATTATCTCTCAAGTGAAGCGGTGGCTTGCTTTCTAAACTCATCGGCTTTTAACCAGTAGGTCGCAGTTTTGAACTTAAGTCCACCGACTGTGGTTACGGTCGTTTTTCTTGAACATCACGAACAACAGAGAACTAATGAACTCAAATATGTTGACCATTTTGGAATGTTGTTGCGATGCCTTCTAACACAATGCCTCCATGTGCATAATCTTCAATTCTTATTGGTTATCAGGACATTAAACCGTTATTGCGGTGTATGGTTGTTTTAGCATTCTATTACATACTTTAATACTTTTACAAATGCAAACTTACTTGACCTAAATCATTAGATAAACACTATAAGAATCATTACAAATATCTTTCCGTTCATGTTTCTTAACGCAAGAATAATTTGATTAGCTAAGAAGCTTAATATACTAGTGACATTGATGAAACCTAACAACTACGAACATAGCTGGAGAATGGTATATGAAACTGGCGAATAAAAGTAGTAAATAATATTAAGACTTTTCATTACTACCGACTTTGCTACACATTATGTAAAGCTACCAGCCACAGATTGATATAATCTACCGAAGTTGAAAAAGGAGTTCTACGCTTCTTGAAAAAAAATCCAGTTCAGTAGTGGATGACTTCAAAGACCAATGATATTTCTTTGTTTGGTAGACAAGTAATGAATAAATATGGCATAACAATTGTTCGTAAAATTACGAGAAAAATGAAGAATAGTATTATTTGGACCATGGTGTTAAACTTCGGTCTGTATAATTTAAGGCCTAAAGTAAGCGATTCTTGATATTTTGAGTGTTCTACTGAGGCCGTCTACATTTCCCTAAACGACTCCGATTGACATCCAATTGATCTATGGACAGTTGCACTGTTTGGTTTTTATCTTTTTCTTCATCCTAATCGCCCCAGTCTTAGTAATCGGTAAATAGTCGTAAATCGATGAGGATTGGGTTATCAAATGATATATCTTCCTAAAACCATATAGCGTTCTCAACGTTGATCACTTAGAAACTTAACCACGCAGAAACAATCTTTCAATAGCCTATAATATAAAACAAGTTCTTTATAGTTGTGAACTACTATTCATTTTAATGAGACTAATTTTAATCACATTTTAAGAAAGAGTAATATTAATTATATCTGTTGATCATAGGTAGCTAATTTCATGATACTATATATTTATATTTATTAAGTTATCAATGAAAACCTGATTGTTAATCAATATACATCATATAAAAATTATTGAAAAGATAAACAGGAGAAGGAATATTTTTCTTCATCATTACGGCTGTAGACTAATATATTTGTAATTTACAACAATAAAATCATATTAATCGAGTAGTGGTGTTATATTATTTTATTATATCACAAGTGATTATAAAAATAATATCGAATAATTGTAAGAAATCACATTTAGCTTGGGTGCAGTGAATGTTTTCTATACAGCTTTTCTTAACCTTTGTGTTAGCATTTCAAAGCTTCACTTATGAGCTGTAACCCAATCTGAATGGTCGTAATCATCGGTCTGATTTTTGTCTCGTTCATATGTTCATTGATGAATTTAGCAGGAAAACCATTCTTACCAAGAATTCTATAGATATTATTTAATTCATTTTCGATAATGTCATCGAAGCAAACCATTTCAGCATGATAAATAAAGACTTCTATTGAGTTTCTTTTATATTTAATTGGTACCGAAGTGTAAAATGGGTATATTGACCAATCGCTGATTGCTTTGTACGTCCCTCTTAAATGACACATCCAATCTTCTTGTCTAAAAATGTCTCGCTTTTACCCCGTTTTTCTAAACGAGTCGATGTAATTGATGGATGAATGTTATTCAATTTGTTTAGTAAATTGTCTTTTTCATCCCTATTTTCTAATGCTATGGACACTGTTCGATTCTGGCACGGTGGTCTTGAGGTTAAGTGTCTGTGCGCATGGCCGAAGTTCTCTAGTTTGAGTCTCGTGCGTTGGGTTGTGAATGTGTACGGCTGAGGATTCCCATACTTGGACTAAATGGCCATTTAGTGCTTCCATGATTTCATTTTTTGAAATTTTCTCTTATCATATAATAAAGCGATCGTCTCGTCTAAATATTCATTTTCGTTCATAAGAACTACACCATATAAAAATTAGTGTATTCACCTATTGATTTTTGATATATTTTTGGTGTCATGTAGATCCTCATTGTCTTTGTGTTCTCATTTGGGTTGTCTGGTTCAGGGTTTTACAGAAGTGAGCTCTAAGTTGTATGTAAATATCTACAGTTACAACGCTAGGGTATTCTATTTTCAGTTATTGTGTCAATGATTCAGGACTGATTCACATTCAGTTTTGGTAATCAGGTTTGCACTTCCAAGAACAAGCATGGTTCACACATTTATTCAGATTCATATGTACGTGACTCGTTGTGTTTACTCATATTTAGTTAATTTGCGGATACTCAACTTGAGTGTTAAGATCGTTCTAATATATCGTAGTTGGGTACTTTAATACGTTTCTGTGAATTGATTTATGTATACGCAACTGTTATTCGTTTGCTTTTCAGATCAAGATCATCAGAATCGAAACTTTCTGATTCTAAGAAAAAATATGTTGTTCCAGATAGAAAAACTCAGTCATGTGCTGTTCAAGTTTCAAAGTATCCGCATATTTCCAAATATCAGAAAATTTCATATAAGATAGAACAGCGTAATTCACAATGTGTATCTACGGAGGAATTCGTTTATTCTCTTTATCCAGTTGACAATAATGATAACAGGAAGCAGACATCACACGAGAAACTTCGTCATCCTGATGCGTTAAAGTAAGCTATCTTGATACTTACTACCGTCATGTTACCTTTGATTACTATCCTTACTCTGTCCGGCAGTAAAATTTCGCTGTTTCTTAGAAAGCTAGATTATAATGCTTGTAATCCTTTCTAATATCAGGTTAGTCTAAATCTTTGTGACAAACAGAAATACAAAAATCGTGAATGTTCTAATTACTATATATCTCTTTTTAATATATTTGGAAGATTGTAGGTCGCCTTTAGTCTGGTCGGTTGAATGACCTTGTAAATATTTGGAAGGCTAAGGACATAATGCACACTTTCGGATTCCATCTAGTTATGTAGTCAATGATCTTATGTTATTCCAAATGGCAAAAAAAATTTAACTGATATCTCCAGAATTTAAAAAACCTATTTATTGTTACTGATGAATTTTGTGTGTATCCGGGTTTGTAAAGTTAGTTTTAGAAGTACTTACTTTTCGGAATATCACCTTATAAAACTAATGTTGAAGTCGTTCTGGCGGAGCTAAACTCTAACAGTTACTTTTCTTAATGCTAATATCAATCCGACTGTTGCTGTTACTTTGACGTGGTGGTCGTGCCTGGAACAATTGTTCCTCATGGTCCTACTATGCCAAACAGGTCGTTTGAAGAGCAGTAAGACTAAAAGTAGCAAACCTAAGGTCCGAATTCAATGTCGTACTGTTGACTGTACAGAGATGTGACAGCAGTAAGTTGTTTCCTTCAGACAACCAGCATAACAGCGGTGCTGCCCTCCCATAAATGAGCGGTGTGGTTATAAAAGATCCACTCTAAAAATGCACACCTCGCCTTATCCCATGCCTATTCGCCTTCGGAGTTAAGGTCTCAGCAGGTACGGAGCGAACACGGAATTTAATCACAACTACGTCGTGTGTGACCGACCTCAAGCAGTTGTTCTTTCTTTATTTATTTAATTATTTGAACACATAAATATTGGTACAAGAGAGCGCCAATATATATGCGCCACACAAAACAATGAGAATTCGAAGAGGAAGAAAAAAAAGGTAAGGAGTGAAAAAAAAGAGAACAATAACGAAGAGGTTGGTGCAAGGTAGTGTAGTAATAATAATAATGGGGGAACGGAAAGGTACAATCAGAAGAAATCTTTCAGTTAAGTAAGATACAACCACGTTTTATGAAGAAAGTAAAAGAAAGTTACAGCAGGATCGCCACTGGCTTCTATTCTGAGCCTTATCTGATAACGTCTCCAACGGCTGTGTTGCACCATCTCTCGGACCCCAACCAGGGAGTCGTGAAGGGCCAACACAAGCCAGCCCTTTGCAGCTTACTTTCATACCACGACACCATGTCATACACTGACCACCTCTCCGCTTTTTCCAATTAGTCCCAGAGTCGGCAAATAATGCACGACGTGGAATTCTCTGGGACGACATTCGTAGAACTGTTATGGCTCAAAGTGACATCCGATTATATGGAGTGTGACTTATCGATCAGATCAAGAATTCAGAATCTCGATAGTCTTTTCTGGTCCGTTGTCCCCAACTCTGCTAACTCGATCAAGAAGTCTTGGTAAGGCGTAGAAAGTGTATTCTACGGACAACAACAGATGACAAGTCAGGCAGGCAGATCAGATCAAGCATACAAGTCAAGCGTATTTATACAATTATTTACAATCGATATTGTCATGGAAGATTTTTGAACATTAATCAACAATTGACTGCTATTTGAACATTTAATCGATAGTTCATTAATTGACCTATTTGTACATTTAATCGATAGTTCATCAATTGACCTATCTGCACATTTAATCGATAAGTAAATTACAAAATTTGAGTTTTGGGGATCTATCGTCCCCAACACTCCTCCCCTTTTTAGAAGATCCGGAGTTGATATCCGGATTTTAAGTTTTCCAGGTCCATCCTCCCCCACGAAACAGTGTTGGATCCTCATATGCCCACGTTATAATTAACTTGAATTTATTTAAGACATATTTATCGCACTGAACAGAGAATTGACTGAAAGTGACTAAGTCTTGAGGCTGAACAACACTTGATGTGAGGTGTTCGAAGTTTAATTCTTCTGAAATATTGTGACCAAATTTATTTGGAATCTTATTTGTAGATAATCGATCATCAAGGTAATTAGCATCTATCAAAATTGTATTAAGTTTTTGATCATCATTTGATGCATCTGACATATTTTCTGGTAAGAGAGAATCTTGATAATAAGATTTGTCAAAAACATCTGTCGCAGACTGATGAGAACCATTTGAAGCAGTTGTATTCAGTGCACTGCTCGATTTGTTTTCTGTTTCATGGGTGGTTATCGCGACAATTCTATGAGGATTTACCAGGGAGTGTGTTTGTGAGCTGGATAAGTCACCGTCTGCACATGCTGTTTTGGGGATAATGGAGTTTGAGTCCATTACCGGGCATGTTTCTGGAATGGAGAGGACTGGACCACTGGGCGCATCATGGATGACTGCCGTTCCGTTTGAAGTACAGTTAATCGAGGATTCATTGGGGCTGCAATCATTTTCCAGCTCTGTGTGCAGTTGAGAGATCAATCCATCCACTTCCGTTGCATCTCCAAAGCATGAGTGATTTAACAGCTGCGTGCGTAATTTGACTAAAAACTCCAACTGTCTTTCAAATAGCAGCTGTACTCGATCGGAAGGGAGAGTCATTTTTTTTATTCAGCACCGGTAATAAAAATTACTGTTTGATTAAAGACCAATGTTGCTGAAGGACACTGATGACAATCTGGATGCTGAAGGCTGACTTTGGATTGTTCTTTTTTTTTACCCCGTCGCCAATTGTTATGGCTCAAAGTGACATCCGATTATATGGAGTGTGACTTATCGATCAGATCAAGAATTCAGAATCTCGATAGTCTTTTCTGGTCCGTTGTCCCCAACTCTGCTAACTCGATCAAGAAGTCTTGGTAAGGCGTAGAAAGTGTATTCTACGGACAACAACAGATGACAAGTCAGGCAGGCAGATCAGATCAAGCATACAAGTCAAGCGTATTTATACAATTATTTACAATCGATATTGTCATGGAAGATTTTTGAACATTAATCAACAATTGACTGCTATTTGAACATTTAATCGATAGTTCATTAATTGACCTATTTGTACATTTAATCGATAGTTCATCAATTGACCTATCTGCACATTTAATCGATAAGTAAATTACAAAATTTGAGTTTTGGGGATCTATCGTCCCCAACACTCCTCCCCTTTTTAGAAGATCCGGAGTTGATATCCGGATTTTAAGTTTTCCAGGTCCATCCTCCCCCACGAAACAGTGTTGGATCCTCATATGCCCACGTTATAATTAACTTGAATTTATTTAAGACATATTTATCGCACTGAACAGAGAATTGACTGAAAGTGACTAAGTCTTGAGGCTGAACAACACTTGATGTGAGGTGTTCGAAGTTTAATTCTTCTGAAATATTGTGACCAAATTTATTTGGAATCTTATTTGTAGATAATCGATCATCAAGGTAATTAGCATCTATCAAAATTGTATTAAGTTTTTGATCATCATTTGATGCATCTGACATATTTTCTGGTAAGAGAGAATCTTGATAATAAGATTTGTCAAAAACATCTGTCGCAGACTGATGAGAACCATTTGAAGCAGTTGTATTCAGTGCACTGCTCGATTTGTTTTCTGTTTCATGGGTGGTTATCGCGACAATTCTATGAGGATTTACCAGGGAGTGTGTTTGTGAGCTGGATAAGTCACCGTCTGCACATGCTGTTTTGGGGATAATGGAGTTTGAGTCCATTACCGGGCATGTTTCTGGAATGGAGAGGACTGGACCACTGGGCGCATCATGGATGACTGCCGTTCCGTTTGAAGTACAGTTAATCGAGGATTCATTGGGGCTGCAATCATTTTCCAGCTCTGTGTGCAGTTGAGAGATCAATCCATCCACTTCCGTTGCATCTCCAAAGCATGAGTGATTTAACAGCTGCGTGCGTAATTTGACTAAAAACTCCAACTGTCTTTCAAATAGCAGCTGTACTCGATCGGAAGGGAGAGTCATTTTTTTTATTCAGCACCGGTAATAAAAATTACTGTTTGATTAAAGACCAATGTTGCTGAAGGACACTGATGACAATCTGGATGCTGAAGGCTGACTTTGGATTGTTCTTTTTTTTTTACCCCGTCGCCAATTGTTATGGCTCAAAGTGACATCCGATTATATGGAGTGTGACTTATCGATCAGATCAAGAATTCAGAATCTCGATAGTCTTTTCTGGTCCGTTGTCCCCAACTCTGCTAACTCGATCAAGAAGTCTTGGTAAGGCGTAGAAAGTGTATTCTACGGACAACAACAGATGACAAGTCAGGCAGGCAGATCAGATCAAGCATACAAGTCAAGCGTATTTATACAATTATTTACAATCGATATTGTCATGGAAGATTTTTGAACATTAATCAACAATTGACTGCTATTTGAACATTTAATCGATAGTTCATTAATTGACCTATTTGTACATTTAATCGATAGTTCATCAATTGACCTATCTGCACATTTAATCGATAAGTAAATTACAAAATTTGAGTTTTGGGGATCTATCGTCCCCAACAAGAACATGTCCAAGCCACCGAAGTCGGTGTTTCAAGATGATGACATCTATTGCATTATCATCTCTGTGCCCTAACACACGATGCCGAACCTCTGCATTACTGACATGGTGTTGCCACTGGATGTCAGAAATTCTTCGGAGACAGCGATGATCAAACACAGAGAGTCGTCTAACGTCCTCAACTCAGAGAGGCCAGGTTTCACAAGCGTAGAGCAAAACCACTCTCACCGACGCGTTGTAGATCCGACCTTTTACAGCCAGACTAACAGCACGAAGGCGCCAAAGGTGTCCAGATTGGCATAAGTCGCTCTGGCTTTCACTATACGTGCATTGATCTCATCACTCACGCAACCACCAGCACTTATGTAGCTACCTAGATACACGAACTTTTCGACCACTTCTATCTGCTCACCATCCAGGGTGAGTACAGGATTAGAATTCTGCCAGTCTTGTAGAAGTAATTTGCAATTCGAAGGTGCAATGCACATACCATACCTACGGACACTGATTTCCAACTGATTAATGGCGGATTGTATGGCTTGGGCATTATCGCGTACTCAATGTTGAGAAGTCTTTCTCCAGGCAAGAGATCCACACCACCATTACTTACATCCATCAGAGCTGTTTCCAGAATGTCATCGATGGCAAAATTGAAGAGGAATGGTGAGATTCGGCAACCCTGCCTAACCCCACTGCTTGAATGGAACAATGGAGAGAGGTGGTTCTATGTCCTCACTCTGCCTGAGGTGTTTGTATATAGGGCTTTTAGGATGTTAATAAACTTCTCAGGCACACCCATGTTCAATAGACAATCCCAGAGAACAGTCCTATCCAACGAATCGAAGGCAGACCTGATGTCAAGAAACACTACGATTGTTGGCCTTTGATAAGTATGGCGGTGTTCTAACATTTGGCGGAGGGTGAAGATATGATCAATACATCCTCGACCAGAACGAAACCCAGCCTGCTCCTCGCGAGCCAATCTTTCTCGGGTTTTGAACAGTCTACCAAGTATGACGGAAGCCAATAGCTTGGACGCAATCGGAAGTAGACTTATTGCCCGATAGTTGTTGCAGGAACGACGTGAACCCTTTTTAAAGATAGGGACAACTATCGACTCATTCCATGACGTTGGTACACTCTCGAGCTCCCAGACCTTTGTAAACAACGTCGTCAGTTCCTTAGTCAGAAAGTCACCACCATCTTTAAAAAGAGCCGGAGGTAAGTCATCTGGGCCAGGTGATTTGTAACGCTTGAAGAGTTGGAGTTCTTTGCGGACTTCCGCCTCATTTCGATTACGTAACATCCTTCGTTTGTGGTCAAACTCACGGTCACCCGGAGTAGACCGACGGGCTTCAATGAGTTGTAAGGAACCTGAAGAAACCCAGTGCTTATAAGCGGGACGTTTCGCGAACCCACAACTGACTGTACCCGCCATTTTGATGGGGTCATGCAATTGCAACCAATGCTCATCTATGCTTTTCGGTGGAATGGTAGCTAGCCTAGATACTAGCTCAGTTCGATACTTACTAGCAACAGAAGTTGCAACCAGCTTGCTAACATCAATCCGTTGGTGGCGGTCACTTCGTTGTCCACTGAAAAGTAAGGTAAGATTGGCGCAGACCAAGGCATGGTCAGAGTCCAGATAGGTACTCCAAAAGGAGCTGCATTCTTGTACACAACCACGCCAGCGGTAGCTGATCGCGATGTGATCAATCCGAGTCCAGGCTTGGGATGCAGAGGGAGGACGCCAGGTGGCACATCGGCGATGACTGTGCCGAAAGTTAGTGCTAGCCAGGATCAGGTTGTGGTCTGTGCACAGTTGCAGTAGACGGTCCTCGTTATCTGTCCTGCGACCAACAAGTCCCCATCGACCACCTAAACAATCCTCTTCTGTGCTTATACGCTTAACCTGAGCATTCAAGTCTCCGGCTAGTACTACAATATCTGTCGAACGCACTTTCTGGAGAAGAACAGATAACTGGTGGTAAAACTCATCTTTGATTGCATCCGGACTGCAATCTGTCGGGGCATAAGCGGAGATGACGAAAATACATCGTTTCTCACGCCGATTTCTTCTCACTTTGATGGAACTTTCTAATCTAACAGCACATAACCGACTGTTAATGGGGATCCAATCGATTAGTGCTGCCTCAGCTCTAGCGCTTAGTGCGACACCAACGCCAGCAAGACCAGACGAAGATGCCACAGGGTCCCTGGATAAACGCACGTAAAACGTTCATCATATTTGAGTGTGGGCTGTGTTACTTCTCGGGTGCCCAGAACGAAGCAGGTGGTTATCTTAGGGGGCCACATCCCGAGCCTTTGACCTAAAGGTCTAACCCACAAGGCAGTGGAGCATCGTAAGGAGATGCAGTACCATGGTAGCCGGTGACCAACGATGATAATCGGTATTGGAGATGGTTGGAAGAAAGTTAGGGGCGGCCAAACCAAAACGTGTCATGAGTGTTTGAAGTTATTTACTTCTGGTCTGAGGCATGTTGTTAGATGCAGACTAGTTAGTTGGGGTCAGCGTGACTATCGTAACCAATGGTTGGAGACTCTGGGTGACATGGCTTAAAATTGGTCGTAATGGTGTAGATGTATGCACCCTCTGTATTCCCTTAAACTGTGAGATTAAAATTACTTTATACCTTTCTTTCTGTGAACTAATTCTTTCTCCCTGTATCAAATCCTTATATTAAGTTTTTTTTTTACTACCATTAAAGTAACTGCTTCCATGAATTTGGTGTTGATCTTGTTGTGCTGATGAGGTGTAGCAACTTAGACCGATGTATATATGTGCCTGGTCCTACGTTGTAGCTGATTGACTGACTCAATATCAGCCTACTAGCTTACATAGCTTATAACGATAAGTCTGCAAAGGTTTGTTGATTCTTTTACGACATATACTTTTACACCGATTTTCTAGGTCAACAAAAGTTTCGTGTAGCTAGATATAATGTTTATTGTATTGGTGCAACAGTTTTAGCGACCACTTAATTAAAGTGAAAAAATGCAAGTATGTTATCTTGAGAGATGTTTTGTGATGTACTAAAAGCACTGGTTAGTTCACTTATGCCTTTACATCTTTCAGTTTCATTAACGGTTCAAGAGATTGTTGTGAGTCCTTAACTAACCGTTTCGTTTTATATAATGGATGAACAATTCTATCGCAAAACACTGGGGGTATCAGTTTAATGAATATAGCGTAGAATCTCTAAACCCGAAGTCTATCGGTACCTAAGAGAAACAACCCTAAATAGACTACTTAGTTTTTTATCTATAAAAGCTCAGTAGTTCATAAACAATTGTCAACGATAAAGTCCCACACTTTGATACTGCCATGAGTTATTTTTCGGCCTTAGTATCATTAGTCCTACCCAGTGGAAATGAGTTTAGACCAATTACACTTGTGAAATTATATAACTCCTTAGAGAGCGAAAAAGGTAATCCGTTTTTCAATGGGAGTAACAGTATAAGATAATATAAAATTCACATGTTTACTGGATTTCATTTGAGGTTCGATTTTGATCACTGTCATTTTTCGGTGTATGGATGGATGGCTATCGCTCAATATCCTAGATTGTTTGGTTAGTCTAAAATTGTTTAACCTGATTGTTTGGACAGCCACGTTATGTTATGGAGAACATAAATGGAACTTGAAATAAGTAATTGATCGTTAGATCATAAATTCAAAGCCACTCCAGTTATTTTCTCTCAAGTAAGCAGATAATATAATCATGATCGCATTAAGCAGTGATAAATGACGCTCCATATGAATAATTATCACTCATTTCATGCATAAAAATTATGATATCTAATTAGTCTCGTGAATTCGCATGTGATTACTAAGTTCTAAATTTCTTGTTTAATTTTTGCAGGTTGAGAGATGCGTAAATGTTTAGCACTAACCTCTTATATATTTTTTGCTATCAATGTTACAGATTTGTTCAAAAGTTTAAGCCAAATCGATCTGAATTAGCTGAAAAATTATACCAAATTTACAATGAAAAGATATTTTCTAACCAAGTAAGACCTTTCAACACCTATATATATATATATATATATATATATATATATATATATATATATATATATATATTTAATGGGTAGAAAGTCAGTAACAACGTAGAACTTCGTACATACGTACATCAGTTCGAGTTGCCACACCACATTAGCACAGAGATGCAGTGGTCGATTCAAATTCCGTAGTGGTAGTGGTAATAAGAGTATAAGCAGTAATCGAGAAGATTAGTGTTTGGAGATGTTACTTATAGAGTATAATCCAGTGAAATAAATTTGGGAAGAGAAAAAAAGAGACAATGAGGAATCAGGAGATTAGAATTTGGGAGAACACAAAGAGTGTATGCATCTGCGCCATTGCAAACGATTTTGAGCCATGTCATTCAGGGTCTCTAACCATCGGTTGCTATCATCTCGTGGTCCTCAACCAGGTAGTCTACACCTACCAACATGACTCAGTCAACTTGTCAGTGACTTCATGGACTTGTGCCATGTTTTGGTCTGGCCGCCCCTAGCTTTCTTCCAACTTACTCCTATACCACTGAACATCGCACGTCGAAGCAGTCGGTCTTTGGGCATACGTAACACGTGTCCCAGCCATCTCAACTGATGAAGTTTCACCACTTCATCAGTGGATTTGCCATCCTTACCTAGTACCCGTTTCCTAACAACTGCGTTACTTAATCGATGGTCCCACGATATACGAGCAATATTTCGAAGACACCTATGATCGAATACTAGTAACCTACGAATATCCTCTACTCTTACCGGCGATGTTTCACTGCCATAAAGTAGGACGGAACGAACTGCTGCGCAGTAAACCCGTCCTTTGGTTGATAGACGGATATCTCGCCTACGCCATAAATAACGCAAGTTGGCAAAAGCTAGTCGAGTCTTCTGTATCCGTGCTGAGATTTCGTCACACACCAAACCACAATGGCTGATCAGACTTCCAAGATAAATGAAGCGGTCGACACGCTCAACTACTTCACTTCCTATCATTAGTTCGGGAGTCGATGCAACCCAATCCTAAAGCAACATTTTACATTTCGAGGGCGAGAATCGCATCCCGAACATGCCTGCATTGTTGCTTAGAGTGGTCAGAAGACTCTGCATTTTGTCAGCGTCTTCACCAAATAAAACTATGTCATCGGCATATTCTAAGTCAACAAGTGAACCTCCCGGTAGAAGTTCAACCCCTGGAAATTTAGATGAGTATTATCTCTAAAAGTACGTCGACCACAGAGTTAAACAAGAATGGAGAGAGTGGACAGCCCTGACGAACACCATTTGAGGTAATCAATTCTGATGACAGTTCGCCATAAGCTCTCACTCGACCAGTTATGTTCGAGTAGAAAGCCTTTACAAGGTTAGTGTACTTCTCTGGTACTCCTTTCAGTGACAAACATTGCCACAGAACCTCACGATCAACAGAGTCGAATGCCGCCTTAAGGTCGAGAAGTACTACGATTGTGGGGCGTCTGAACGTGTGTGTGTTCTAGAACCTGACGTAGTGTGAATATGTGGTCTATACAACCACGTCCAGGTCGAAAACCAGCCTAATTTTCTCTAATCTGCTCTTCACGAGCTTTAGTTAGGCGTCGAAGTATTATTGAAGGGCCCTAAGAGGCTTCCTTGCAGCGTATTTCTTACGTCCAGTAAGACGCAGGCAAATACGCGCTCGTACTAGAGCATGATCTGAATCTAGGCATGTGCTCCAGAATGAGCGACAGTCTTCTATCGAGCCCCTCCATCGGTGGCTGATAGCGATGTGATATATTTGGGTCCAACTTTGGGACGAATTAGGGGGTCTCCATGTTAAAAGATGTTTTTCCTTATGCCTAAAGTTAGTATTTGCAAGAAACAGGCGGTTATCTGAGCATAGCTGCAACAGACGGTCGCCATTATATGTTCTTTGAGCGACGATGCTATAAGATCCACCCAGGTGTCTTTCCCTATCGCTTAGTTTACCTACTTGAGCATTAAAGTCACCGGCCATTATTACTACATCCGAACGCCTAGCTTTAAGGAGGAGGTCCGAAAGCTTTTTGTAAAACTCATCTCTTACATCATCTGAGCTGCAGTCAGTGGGAGAATAGGCAGAGACGACGAAGAGGCAACGACGAGTGTCCCTATCTTTTCGAATTCTTACTGTTCCGTTCAGTCGGACAGCGCACAAACGACTGTCTATTGGGATCCACTCTAAGAGAGCTAGTTCTTCCCTAGGACTCAATGCTATACCTACGCCGGCGAGGCCGCGGGAAGCAGAATCTGGGCTTCCAGATACACGAAGTGTGAATCGAGTCGGTTCTTTATTTTGGCATGGTGAGGTCAAATAGATGACGCTACTCAGATCCTGTATGCGCGTTTCGGAGACGCAGCACACATCGATAGCGCGAGATTCTAAGGTCTGACTGATTCTAAAGACTGACTGACTAACTGATTCTAAAGTCCTAGCTAAGGAAGCTTATTGTCCTATTTGGCACAGTGTTCGGACGTTACTCCTCGTGAAGGAGCATAGGCCGCTCACCAGCATTCCCCATCCAATCCTGTCCTGGGCAATCCTTTCTAGCTCCGTCCAGTTGTAATTCATCGTTTTCATATCTGCTTCTTTTATCCGACGCAATGTGTTATTTGGCCTTGCTCTTTTCCGCTTCCCTTCAGGATTCCAAGTTAGGGCTTGCCTCGTGATGCAGTTTGACGATTTGCGTAATGTATGTCCTATCCATTTCCATCGTCTTTTCCTAATTTCTTCTTCAGCTGGAAGTTGGTTTGTTCTCTCCCACAGAAGGCTATTGCTGATGGTATCCGGCCAACGGATGTTGAGTATCTTGCGTAGACACCTATTTATAAATACTTGTACATGTTTGATGATGGTGGTTGTTGTAGTTCTCCAAGTTTCAGCTCCGTACAGTAGAACTGACTGCCTTGACGTTCGTATTGAAGATCTACACTTTGATATTCGTTGAACGTTGTTTTGAGTCGCATATGTCCTTCAATTGTAGGAATGCCACCCTTGCTTTGCCGATCCTCGCCTTTACGTCTGCATCTGATCCTCCTTGTTCATCGATGATGCTTCCTAGGTATGTGAAGGACTCTACATCTTCCAGAGTTTCGCCATCAAGAGTGATTGGATTGCTGTTCTCCGCTTTGAATTTGAGGACCTTGGTTTTCTCCTTTTGTATGCTGAGGCCTACTGATGCAGAGACTGCTGCTACACTGGCTTTCTTCATCTGCATCTGTTCGTGTGTACGTGATAGCAGGGCTAGGTCATCTGCGAAGTCCAAATCGTCTAATTGATTCTGAGCTGTCCATCGTATTCCGTGTTTTCCTTCAGATGTCGAGGTCTTCATAATCCAGTCGACCACCAGAAGAAAGAGGAAGGGAGAGAGTAAGCAGCCTTGTCTGACTCCGGTCCATACTTGGAATGCATCTGTCAGCTGTCCTCCATGCACTATTTTGCACTGTAGTCCGTCGTATGAGTTCCGGATAATATTGACAATCTTCTCAGGAACTCCGTAGTGTCGAAGAAGTTTCCATAATGTCCTCCTATCTACACTGTCGAATGCCTTTTCATAATCAATGAAGTTGATGTATAGTGATGAGTTCCATTCAACTGATTGTTCGACGATGATCCGTAGTGTTGCAATTTGGTCTGTGCACGACCAGGCTACAGGCGGAGTTGAGCGACTTATACGAAACCTCAAAATGTTGAAAATTCAGTTTTCTGCTTACATTTAGCTTACATGTATACTACAGTTATTTAATAATCAATGTCTTTAGAGCATTTCTCACCTATTAATGGACCAACTTGTAATTACGGCGTACATTCTTAAGAAGGCAACCAGTCGATGATGTTGTGTGCCAGTTCTCAGTGAATTGGTTGGGTTATGAGCCAGGGATTCTAATCCATTGTACACTCTTGACAATCATGGTAATTGAATTCAAACCAAACTGACATGACTAAAGTATAATATGCTACAACTTAGTATCCATACAGCCTGAATTTTGTAGAAAATGCTAATCCCCTGAGTACTTTATTTTGATGATAGACACTGGTGGTTGAAACCGATCGTTGACGATCCTAAATCAGTCACTATGATTCAATTATTTCACTACTGTTTATTTATTTCCTCTATTCTATCCTACTTATCTACTATATCATCTTTACTCACTACTTATGTTCATCCACAGTTACCACCAAAGTTAGAGATTATATGGAGTCGTCGACTATTGAAAACTGCTGGTCTTTGCAAGTACATGATGCGTACATCCACTCATTCAAACGGAACATCTAATCAGGTACAACTTTGAAACTCTAGCTTTATTTATATCTCACTTTTTAAACAAGATTATACGTTGATGTGCGCTTTGTTTTCTTTGATCAGATGAGGGTTTGCGCTCTCAAGGAGTTCGAAAAATAAAGAATGCAATTGATCTAAAAAACAGTGAAGGGAAAATAATATCAAAATTAATCTGAAGCTAAAGATGAGAAATACGGTTTAAGGAAAAACATGCAATCAAAGATTGTATCATTGTCCTTTTTTTTATCAACTACCAACCCACCAAGTCTGGTGAAACTTCCAGAATGACTGAGGTAGTAAATGGGCTTGACTGCTGCACTCCTTATGATCAAACTAGGGGTAGATGCAAACTAGTTTTTAAGCAAATATTTACGTTTAGAATAAAAGATACTCATTACGGACATTTTTACGTTATTCTAAGTGGTCAGAAGGCTTAAGAGGATCTAATCTTACCAACTTCAAGTTGGTTAGTTCTTTTTAGACTTCTGTGAGTCGGAAATTCGGCGTGAATAATTCTTACAAACTTAGTTAGTGGTGAGTATTTGTAGACTAGAGGAAGATTAGTTGGACTGTTTCTAAAAGTAACCCACTCATTTTTTCAGTCACCTTGTCTAATAGAAAAACAAGGTTTCACCTTTCTCATTGACAATTTATCAAACCGTTGACTTCTTAACTTCAGTGTGTCCGATGAGTCTAAACAGTTATTTAGTGTTATTTGTTTCTGCAGACTTTTTTCACATCTTTACTTTGCTCATCGCTAGTTATTTCTAGGATTTTTACACGTTAAGGCATGCGATTCTGAAGCTCTGGCGAGTAGATACTCTTATTTGGTCTGAAACAGTGTACTAAGATCGATAGCTCCAACACTTTATTTAAAGCGCGGTTTCAGTAGTTCGTTTCGTCTTTCTGACCATAAAGCTTTGTGACCATAGATACAAAGCCAATAATATAGAATCCTTTTGTCAATCCATTTTTTGTGTTAACTTTTTTTAAAAAATCATGATTCTAACACTGGAAATTCAGAGGGTACCTTGATATCCGTAGAAAATAATGACTATATTTCACATAACGTTTAAAGCACAATACATTCTTGTCACCTTATGCTGCTACTACATAAAATTAATCGTTGGAATTTTCCATACTCTCAACTACGAGTCTGAAGGTTAGAACTCCGTTTCGTCTGCTTTGGTCTGAGTGCCATGTTAGTTTTACAGACCTTCGATAAATGTATCACAAAACCAAGCATAAAAAGTTGTATTAGGTAAATAAGTTGTTGTGGCCACGGCAACTGATTGTGAGTTTAGCTTTAATTTAATGATTGAACTTTTATTTGATCACAGCTCATTAATGCAGCTTTTCTTCAAATAAAGCTGTATCATTTAATTGATTTGGCTACTATTTATCTACTTTCTCTGAGTGTTCTGTTGAGTGATTAGTTGATCCAACATAAGTTTATTACGTGTAAGTAAAATTTTTTTAAAGAGAATCCTTTACCTGTGCATGAATGAGTCTTGATTACCAATTTGTCATCTTCTCAAACTTCTCGAAAGCACTTATACGACAAATAGAAATGCCATCAAGATGACCAAATACCATATAATTTAATACAAGTCACACGGTTTATTTGAATTTCAGAAGTTCGAAAAAGAAATTTCCAGTCATTCCATTTCTAAATTCCTTAATGTTTACTTTTTAAGTAGTATAACTTTTTGTGTATAATTGTCTTTCGTTAAATATTCTTACAAAACGTTAATTTCATTTGACTGATTTTCAATGGTCATTCTAACTAGTGCAGTTGACTGATACTAACCCATATTATTGTGATGTTTATCAATCCGAATTTTAATATGATTATAAACAACAAATAGGCCAAAGATAGATGAAAGTTCTTAAATCTGACCTGTTGTATAAATTATTTAAACATGTGTCATCAATCGATAAATGTTTAATAATAACCAACTTCATTATTGCCACGTTTTTTTCCAACTTGTGACAACTTATAGGTTCGTATCGCTCAGATTTTGTTATCGGAAAAAGTATGCACCACAGCTGAGCGCGTTCGCGATACCCTGCTGCACGAGATTTGTCACGCTGCTGTTTGGTTGATCAATGGTTTAAATGATGGTCATGGACGACATTGGAAATCTTGGGCTAACCGTGTTCATCGAGTTTGGCCGAAGCTGCCTGTGGTTTCTGTTTGTCACGCATATACAATTGATACACGATTCACATATCGATGCACAGGGTGTGGTGTATGTATTAATCGACATAGCAAATCTTTGGATATTACTAAAAAGGTAAGATTAAAATATTTCCTTATTTTATTTCCCGTTTTTCACCAATAGCATTCTAATATAAATTATTTGAAATTGATGCCGCTATTCTAAGTAGACTAAACCAATAGTTTTTGATGAGGTTTTGTTCTCTGATCTGGATGATTTGGTCGTGGCGCTTTCATCGTTCTTCTGAACGACATCATCAGCACAAACTTCAGATAGAAGTGAAGCGTTCGGATTTCTCCATATGTAGTTCACAGCTTGTCCTGTGGAGAAATTCGAACGCTTCACTTCTATCTGAAGTTTGTGCTGATGATGTCGTTCAGAAGAACCATGAAAGCTCCACGACCAAACCATGCAGCTCAGAGAACAAAACTCTATCAAAATCATCCACCTGAGCTACACATCTTCACGATCTCTAAACCAATAGTTCAAGTGACATAATAACATCTGATTCCCATACAAAACTATTTGTGATTCAAAGTTCCTTTTGTTTACTTAGGTTGCTCATTTAACCTAAGTGACTCTTCTTTTTTCCTCAGTTTCAAAATAATTCTTTTTCCCAACTGTTTAAACATAATACTAATATATATATATATATATATATATATATATATATATAGTAAGAATATTGTTTTCGATAAATTTTTATAAGGTTCTACGATTTAATAAATAGATATGTGACTATGAATGCCAAATTAAAAATGTACATACTTTGAATAAGAGGTCCCTATTCATGCCCCTACGATGCAAAGGCGATTCATCCATTGAAACACCAATCTAGAGGTTATGTAAAACAATCAAGATAATAGTTTCCACTTCTCCGATGGCATTACTGAAAGTGAAAGTTGAATCATCTGAACTGAACACCTCGTTTTGCATTTATCGATTCGACTGCTCATGTGGAGGTAGATACAGGAATTCGCACTTTTGTGCTCGTGAACAACTTCCAGCGTAGCTTACCAAAGGTGTAGCCAAGACAGTAAACAGCTCAACAGTAGCTTATTCACTTTAAACTGGTCATAGTGCCAACACAGATTGATGATTCTCAATAGTTTGTCACACTCGTCCTTAAAATGGCAAAAGCATTAGCTATCCTGATAAAAATTTGAAGCTATTTATGCTGAAGAAATACGTCCTACTTCTATTACCCTGGTTAAACTCGGGCCCAGTAAGTCAATAGTCATGTTAATTTGATAGAAAGAACTAAAATCTCCGCACATACAATTTTCGGTTTATGTATTTTTATCGTCTAAAATTAATCTTGCCAAATATTGTCAACATTATTTTTACTCATGGGTCTTTGTATTGTTGTGTTATTTTACAAAGGCAAAATAAGGTATGGTAGTGAATTAAACAATGCTAAATGTTAAAAGTGGCGAACACTCTGGTTACTTATTATATTCACATGTTATTACCAATATTATCTCCATTAACCCGATGACATTTTTGCATTCTGCATTTTATTCACACGATTTTTTTGTCATACTGATTATAACTTGATACCTTACAGCGAATCATTCTGACCTTTCTAATTTGCAAATGGAAAAGTTTTGAAGTATTTGTCCGTAACAAATGCGAAGGTTCCCCATTTTTAACATATAACATTGTCAAACTCATTAATGCATTGTTCACAAAGATATATATATATGATTCCTAATCTTTTACTTAATCCACTAAAACCTATACTGTCATTATCTCTACTACTCTGGGATTAGCCCTGGTAGTTTCATCTGTCTATGCTGATGGGGTGACAACTTGAACCGATGTACATATGTTCAGGTTCTACGTTATGATTAACTAACTGTCATTCGTTCCATATAAATCTTACCGTTGTCATTTATGGTAGTATATATCTGTTCTGATCGTCACTACGCCACAAACTTTATTACCGTATTTCCCATGCAAAACCCTATTTTAATAAATCTATAATCAGAGCACAAGAAGATCAGTTGAATAGTCACCAGTATCTTTAACTAATCAAATGCAAAACTCACATGATTGAATAAGTAAAAGATAAAACCTTAATGCACTAAAACCCTCAAATCTCAGTAAGTACATAAGTTGGATATTTCTGATGCGAAGCTGATTAGCATTATTCACAATTGACTGTAGTTTATGAATAATAAAAGATAAATTATTATAAAGCAACTCCACGAAAAAATTAGTAGCCACTCATCAAAGCTATATAGAAACTAATTGGTCAAAAAAGTAACTATCCAAATTTCAGATTTCTATTTTCCTAGCAACATAATTATTGAGATGTTCTGATGATCCTTTTATTCACTATGACATCAATAAAGATCTATAGTGTCTAGCTGCTAAAATCTAATTAAATGAAGTGAATTAAGAATGCATGGAAAAGTCTCTAAATCCGATTATATTGTAATGTTTCGTAAGTGCATATAAACCAATTAAATAGTGATTTAAACATTTATTCTAGTGTACTTATCTTTTAATAGATTTGTGGTCATTGTCGTTCGAAGTTTGAATTACTCATTAATACACCTAAAGGTCGTATGCTTCGACCCAGTTTAGCTGCCCAATATGATAAACGTCTTCTGCCGCATTGTTCTTCCAATAATGTAACTAAAATGCCTTATGAACTAGAAAATTATCAGTTGTCTAGAACTCCAGATGAAAATAATCGAAATCACAATGTTGAAAATGGACTATCAAATATGTTTAGGGACTTACGAGTTAAATGAAATTTCTCCCTAATGTTTTTGTTTTTACTGGGTTATATTTCTATTGATAAGATAATATTTTTGATGAAATTTTCTACCCTGTGTATGTGTTTGCATTTGAACATACCCTGTAATTCAATATTTTCACTTATTTTTTTACACCTTTTCTGATTTCTACCTGTTAAGTTTTATCTTAAAATATGTTCTCAGGTTGGATTTTCCACTTCTTTTTCTAATTATTACTCGTGTAATCGATGCATTTAGAAATAAAATAGATTCTCTCTAAAAAATTGGAATAGTTCATATTGTTTATTTGAAATGTGTTATAAATAGCCGCATAATAACTATTTCGTATACTTCACTTTGGTGTAAATGTAAGCACATTCCGGATAAAATAGCAGAAACGCAATATATTTAAATAGCCCAATCGGGATTGTTTACAAAGCCATTGGGGGCATTTTCATTGTGGAATAGGGACCAGCCATCTCAATTTCAGAACTTTGTGCGGATGATATGTTAGACCCCCAAACTTTCATCTTGTGCTTTCTTAAACGGTAGTGGAAATGGAAGATCAAAAACATCTGGTGGATAATTTCCGAACCAATTATCATGATTTTACCTTGATATTATTACTTCAGTGTTTAATTCACCTCTCTTTTGGTCAGTGTACACGCATCTGACAACAAATCTACAAAATTTGAAATTGTTAATAACTATCTTTAATGAACTATGTGGTTCTACTCTTGATTGTTGAAGACAATATAATTGGGTGACCCGGGATCACTCTTGTTTCATCTAAGTATATGAACAAAAGGAGGATATTGTATAATATTTCTCCAGATACTTTGTTGCTGTCACTGACCGACAAAATATAATTATGGAGAATTCATAATATAATACCAAAGTTCGAATCCCTCTGTTGATTCCTATTCATTTCCGAACCACTGATGTCAAGAGTATTTATAGTTTATAATTTGTTTGTAGATTTTCAAAATAGCAACTCAATACGATTTTGGGAGAAGTGAAAGTAATAATATTTATACTAGATATGGTGAAAATTATAGTCTAGCGAAAAACGAAGAAACATAAAAATTAACAGTTCCAAAGCCTTTGGGAAAAGTGATAAATTTGGTTTTAATGAGGAATTGTTACTTGAAGCAAGTACACCAACATCGAATCCACGAAATGTACTGAATAAAGGTAAAGGCAGTTATCGATATATGATGGTGAAAAGTTTACTTTAATGCCTTTTAACATCTGGTTTACTGTTTGGATGATTGGAAATAAATGGATTCTTGTATGGTCATATGTATACACGATTCCAACAAAAGGTTCGGTGTTGAGAAAAGCATGGAGTGGGTTAGCAGCTGACTTCTCAGGATTCCCAGAAACATTTTGAACAAATGAAAAATAGGTAGAATAGGCGTATTCCCATAAGTGGAAATTATAAGACTGATATACCTTAAATTACGTAAAATAAACTTCTGCACACATACTCATTGGACTAAATATTGTGTTTGATTGGTTCCCAAACAAACGATCATTGCTTTTATATGCACTGGAATAGCCAAACGATTATTTGTAATACAATTATAGTTGTCTATAAGCACTCTTCACAAGAGTACATCCCTTGATAAGAGGTTTTGGACGATAGCTTTCCCGGTAAGATTATTAAATCAGCGTAGTTTTCTGTATCAATTGCGCATAGCTAGGATTTTACTTCCAGAAGTTTAAATACGATTTCCTTTTTTAGTAGTATTTTATTTTTAAATATTATGATTCTCATCGTCGTCTGGGGATTTATATATGAAGTTTGGTAGTCACCAAACAAATACATCCTACACAATTTCACACTAGTATATTAGAAATTCAAAGAAAGGCTACTGAAGAGATATATGTATTGAGCCTTCTCAGCAAAACAAACCTACAAGATTATTACTTACTTACTTACGCCTGTTACTCCCAATGGAGCATAGGCCGCTGACCAGCATTCTCCAACCCACTCTATCCTGGGCCTTCTTTTCTAGTTCCATCCAATTCTTGTTCATTTTTCTCATGTCTAACACCATTTCCCGGCGTAATGTGTTCTTTGGTCTTCCTCTTTTCCCTTGACCTTCAGGATTCCATGTGAGGGCTTGTCTTGTGACGCAGTTAGGTGCTTTCCTCAATGTGTGTCCTATCCACTCCCAGCGCTTCTTCCTGATTTCTTCCTCCATTGGGATCTGGTTTGTTCTTTCCCACAGTACGTTGTTGCTAATAGTGTCCGACCAATGGATCTGAAGTATTTTGCGTAGACAATTGTTAGTAAACACCTGTATTTTCTGGATGATGGCTTTCGTAGTTCTCCAGATTTCTGCCCCATACAGTAGAACTGTCTTGACATTTGTATTGAAAATCCTGACCTTGGTGTTGGTTGACATTTGTAAATAAACTGCTCTTGCTTTGCCGATCCGCGCCTTCACATCTGCATCAGATCCACCCTGTTCATCAATGATGCTGCCCAAATATGTAAAGGTTTTTACATCTTCCAAATCTTCTCCGTCAATTGTGATTGGATTGGTGCATTCTGTGTTGTATCGGAGAATCCTGCTTTTCCCTTTGTGTATATTGAGACCTATTGCTGCTGAGGCTGCTGCCACACTGTTCGTCTTCTCCTGCATCTGTTGTTGCGTTTGGGATAGAAGGGCCAGATCGTCTGCGAAGTCTAGATCATCCAACTGCATCTTAGATGTCCATTGTATCCGCGCTTTCCTTCGAACGTTGACGTTTTCATGATCCAGTCGATCACCAGGAGAAAGAGAAAGGGTGAGAGTAAGCAACCTTGCCTAACACCGGTCTTCACTTTGAACGACTTTGTCAACTGTCCTCCATGCACGATTTTGCAGTGTAATCCATCATATGAGTTCTGTATGATATTGACTATCTTCTGAGGCACGCCGTAGTGTCGAAGAAGTTTCCATAGTGTTGTTCTGTCCACGCTATCAAATGCCTTTTCGTAGTCAATGAAGTTGATGTAGAGTGATGAATTCCATTCAATTGATTGTTCCACAATGATCCGTAGAGTTGCGATTTGGTCTGTACACGATCTATCCTTACGGAATCCTGCCTGTTGGTCACGAAGTTGGGCGTCTACGCAGTCCTTCATCCTGTTTAACAATACCCTGTTGAAGACTTTTCCCGGTATTGAGAGAAGAGTGATGCCCCTGTAGTTATCACACTTGCTGAGATCGCCTTTCTTCGGTATTTTGATCAGTAGTCCGTCTTTCCAGTCTGTTGGTACTTGTTCCTCATCCCAAATCTTATTGAAGAGAATGTGGAGTATCCTTGCAGTTGCCGGTACGTCTGCTTTTAGTGCCTCTGCTGGGATGTTGTCCGGTCCTGCTGCTTTGCCACTCTTGATTTGTCTGGCCATGCTGATTTCTTCAATTTTGGTGGGCCAACATTGATTGGGAGATCCGTCGGTGCTGCTTCGATGTTGGGTGGGTTCAGTGGAGCTGGTCGATTCAACAGTTCTTTGAAGTGTTCTACCCACCTGTTTTGTTGCTCTTCAATGTTGGCGATTACCTCGCCCTCCTTGCTTTTCACTGGTCGTTCTGGTTTGCGGCGATTTCCAGAGAGTTTCTTTGTCGTGTCATACAATTGTCTCATGTTTCCTTCTCTTGCAGCCTTTTCCGTCGTCTATCCTAAATCTTCCACATATTTACGTTTGTCGGTTCTGATGCTCCTCTTCACTTGTTTGTTTATTTCCGTGTATTCAGCTTGTGTCTTGGCTTTCTCTGCTCTTGTTCGGCTGGTATTGATCGCTGCCTTCTTGTTCCTCCTTTCTTGAATCTTATCCAGTGTATCAACAGTGATCCATTCCTTGTGATGGTGCTTCTTGTGGCCCAGAACCTCATGGCATGTTGAAGTGATTGCCTCTTTGATCCCCTTCCAGTTGCTCTCCATAGTAGTTCCTTCTCCATTGAGTAGATCATGAAAGGCCTGGAACTTGTTGCTGAGGACTATCTTGAATTTGTTGAGTTTGTTAGTATCCTGGTTCTCACGTCCTCTATAGTCCTCCTGAACGTTTTGTTCATGCAAATATGGTCGATTTGGTTTTGTGTAGAGTGATCCGATGAAGTCCATGTGGCTTTGTGTATGCGTTTATGTGGGAATATGGTGCCGCCTATGACCAGCTTATTGAAGGCACATAGATTTGCAAATCTCTCACCATTTTAGTTTCTTTCTCCCAGTCCGTGTCGTCCCATGATGTCTTCATATCCAGTGTTGTCCGTTCCAACCTTGGCGTTGAAATCTCCCATCAGAATGGTCAGGTCCTTTGTTGGGCACTTCTCGACTATTGACTGCAGCCTATTGTAGAATTGATCTTTAGCGTCTTCATTGTAGTCGTTGGTAGGCGCATAGCATTGGATGATGTTCATTGAAATGCCCTCTTTCTTTGTTTTGAAGGAGGCTTTGATGATCCTTGGTCCATGAGATTCCCATCCTATAAGCGCATTTTGCGCTTGTTTGGACAGCATCAATGCAACTCCTTGTGTATGTGGTGCATTTTCTTCTTCATGGCCGGAGTATAACAGGAGCTCTCCTGTAGTTAGTCGTTGTTGTCCAACTTGTGTCCAATGTGTTTCACTGATCCCAAGTACCTCTAGGTTGTATCTTCTCATTTCTGCAGCAATCTGGAAGGCTCTTCCGGTGTCCCACATTGTACGAACATTCCATGTACCTAAATAAATGGTCGCTCTGGTTGTCAGAAGGGGCATCGGCCTCGTAACTTCCGAAGGGTATCGGCTTTCATCATGAGGCGTCATAATTCTTCTAAATGAAGATCTTCTGACTCCCAGGGCAGAGTTTAAAAGGTTTGAATAATTTTTTCTGGTTAGCGTTTTTTTAGCGAGTTAGTTTTCTACGGGATGGGGACGCTAACCCCATGCCCAACCCTCCTCCTTTATCCGGGCTTGGGACCGGCAGTAGCCCCCGGAGGGACTCCAGGCGGAGTTTACAAGATTAATAATTGAACTATAAATATATAAGACATTTGTATACAAAAATTGATGTACCGTAGAGCCGAACGAGAGGTTAGTTAAAATGAATTCCGATCAGCAATAAGAAATGGATTTCAGTACTACCTACTAATTAGTGACAAGTGTTGGAGTATAATTCACACCTTGGGTGCGCTAATACAATCTCATTAGCAAGATTTATGCCTAAACGATGAGCGAAATATTGTGAGAAAAAAGTTAATCAAGTCAATTATCACTGACTTCATAATTACTGGATACTTTTCATAAATCAAAAATCCGCTTTGCACCCAAAAGAAATATGTTCAGCCACTCTGCCTGTAGTTCTTCTAGAGTTACTGCCGGTCACAAGCCCGGGCAAACGAGGGTTGGTGATAAGTCTTGCAGATTTGAACGCTATATTCGTCTCCTAAGCTATTCTGTAACCCCCAAGCCAGAACTAGACAGCGATCTGAACACGACAGAGAAGTAGTTTACTCCAAGGTTCATTTTATTACAGAAAATATAGGGTTTTTATAATATTTTAAATGTCCTTAGGTCGCTGGAATATTCTGAAATGCTACTAAACATAGTAGCAGCCAACCAATCAGAGCCTCTGCATGTGACGTTTCGCTTCCTTGATATTTCTGGCCAAGACTCCAAGTGAACGCTGATTGGGCGAAACGCTTCTTAGTGTTTCTTGATGATCGCTTGTCTTTTGCAAGCAATTTCCTGGACCACCCCAACAGTTGGGCATGGGGTTAGCAACGCAATCCCGTAGAAAACAAACTCGCTAAAAAATTAGGAAAAGAAGATGGAAATGGATAGGACATACATTACTCTAATCGCCAAAATGCATCACAAGACAGGCATCAACATGGATTCCTGAAGGGAAGCGGAAAAGTGGAAGGCCAAAGAACACGTTATGCCGGGAAAAAGAAGCATATGTGAAAAGGATGAATAACAACTGGAAAGAGGCTGGTAAGGATTGCCCAGGACAGGGTTGGATGGAGAATGCTGGTGAGCGGCCTATGCTCTTTCACGAGTAACTGACGTAAGTAAGTTTCATAAATCAAACACAGACAACTGTTAGATTGTATTTTTTTTAAATAATGTAGTCGGTCGTATGAATTCCGTATGATGTTGACGATCTTTTCAGGTACACCATAGTGTGAGAAAAGGATACATAGTGTTCTCCTATCCACTGTCAAACGCTTTCTCATATTCAAGAAAGTTGATGTATACTGACGAGTTCCATTCAACTGACTGTCCAACAATGATCTATAGTGTCGTGATTTGGTCTGTGCATGACATATACTTACGGAATCTGACCGAATCTTTCATCAAGTTCAGCAACATTATTGAAAACCTTTCTTGGTACTGATAGTAGTGTGATGCCTCTGCAGTTCTCACATTTGCCCAGATCTTTCCTTGGCATCTCGATGAGGTATCCTTCTTTTCAGTCTATCGGAACTTGTTGATTTTCTCAACTCGTTCTGAATAGAACGTAGAGTATGTTTGCAGGTATCTCTGTTTCTGACCTCACCGCCTAGTCTGGTATACTGTCAGACCATGCTGCTTTCCCACTCTTGATTCGTCTGATAGCCATCCTGATTTCTTTGATAATTAATAGAGTGACATCTATAGGTAGGTCTGTGTGTGTTGCTTCGAGTTCCTCAAAGTGCTCTCCCCACCTGTTCTTGAATCTCAGTGATTGTCTTGCCTTCTTTGTCCTTGACCGGTCTCTATGGTTTACAATATTTCCCCGCTAGTTTCTTCGTTGTGTCTTATATTTGTTTCATATTTCCTTCTGTTGAAGCTTTGTGCGCTGTCGTTGCTAGGTCTTCCACATATCTCTTCTCGTTAGCTCTAATGCTCTCCTTCACTTGTTTTTTTGCTAATCACCACAACAGCGTTAATACGAACCAAATATTTCGTATTATTTGTACTACTCATACTTTTAAACTCATTCGATCACATACACAGAATGTAAGACCATAACACAGCGTAAATAATAAATCTCAATACGCACATAACTGGAACATTTATAATTAACTACTGGTAATTTATAAATGCCAAAAGATACATTATTACTCAATAGGACGGATGGAAGCTTACACTTAAAATAGTGTAAAATTTACTATAACCCAGTTGTTAACCAAATAGGGATTAGAAGTACATATAATAAAATCTCAGGTAACACTTTCTTATGTTACAAATTTACACGTAGTCCCTCAGTCCTAACTAAAATGGGGTCTATTCAATCAAATAGGCTTGCATTCTGATTTGAAGTAATTTCATTTCAACATTATTCGTAAATAGTTTGCATTACTTCGAATTTGAGAAAATTTCAAAACATCTAATGTGCATTGTATCAATTCAGTTATTGAAAGATGAACTGGATTGAGTGAATATAAACGAAACATATTATGAGGATACGATGGGTCTGAATGAAGGTTTATCGAAACTCGCTTGTCCCTCTCTGACAAAGTTCTATTACTGATAACCTTAGAATACTACAATGTTAGTGAATGATGAAACATTGTGTGACACATTCGTCCATTGACAAAAGAAATTAAAAAATCATTGCAGATAAGATATTATTAGAAGTAAGAGTGAAGATAATGTTATGTTGGAGAACAAAACACTTCTGAAATAAATCAAGATATGTGTTGTGCCAGCGATCAAGGTAAGTGTGATTCACGAAATCTGAGGCAAACCAAATTCGTCCAGTTTGATATTGTTCTGCAAAAAGATTAAGACAATACAAAAAGAAGTACGTAATTACCCAATGAAAAGCAGGCAGTACATTTAATATGCAATGACCTAGAAAAATGATGAAATATTAACTGCTCTCGTGATTTGTAGTATTAATAATATAACTACAAAAACTTAATTAGTTCTCGATATTCTGGCTCCATATTTTGGACTTCTCTAGTAACTTATCACATGAAGCATTATTGTTAGTATGTGTCATCAGAGGCTATACGGAAGACCTAAACATAAGTTGCTGAACATTGCATTTTCAGTCAGGCACAACGCAGAACATATATAGATCGGTCCAAATTGCCACATCAGAACAACCAGAAATTGTTAGGCCAAATCCCAGAGTAGCAGTAAAAATGAAAATGGAAAAATTGTACATCGAAGGTATGATTCAAGAAAATCTACATAAGCGAAACAAAATAAATTGTAAAAGATTCAAAAACTTACGATCTAAGGAAGGACAAAAAGTGAATCATCTACCCCCATTGAGAACGGTTTTGAGTCGTTACCTAGAATTTCTAACCATTGATAAAGTGTCACAATGACCCAGGTCAAATCACCTGTGAGACGGTGGAAAGGATTTGTGGCTCAGGTGGTTGATTTCGGTGTTCTGTTTTGAGTTGGAATATTTGGTGGTGAAACTTTCATAGTTCTTCTGAATTCATGAACAAATAATCAACCCTTATTAACCAAGACATTATGAATTCGCATATACAGACTATCTCGATGATGGAAGTGAGTTACAAGGTAGGACCAGGCACATATACAATTTGCTACACCTCATCAACACAAGATCAACACCAAATTCACACAATGATAACTAATGTACATTACAGGATTCGCGAATACCAACACGTCGTGGATGACCCAAAGGGGAAGCTGGGGAAGATACTCACATTAGAACATTTGGTGGTCTTGACAACAGCCATCGAGATATCATGCAGACGACACAGAGAACAAAAAAAAATCTAATCAAGATTTCGAAACCACCTACGGAAGAAAACACAAACAACTGCATGCTCAACCTGTTAAAGCAACCGCTCACATAAAACTGCTAACCAATGACACAGATCTCCCAACGTATACCGAGCTTAAAAGTAAAAATTTACTAGAACTCATCGATTTATACTTAACAACATATTTTCAATTTAGCAACAAAATCTACGAACGAAAGGAACACTGATGAGATCACCAATATTATTGCAAAAGCAATGATACAGAGACTGGGAAACTCGACCCTATCAGTGATCAAGTCAAATATTTGGATTCATTATGTGGACGACACATTCGTCACCATCAAAAAATACGAGCTGGAAAACACCTACATTCTGATCAACAACGTCTTCGATGACATAAAGTTTACAGTGTAACAGGAGTCAAACAACAAACTATCATTCTTGGATGTATTAATCACCAGAACCGACACAGGAAAACTGGAGACCCAAAAATGTCGGAAGCTGATCCACACAGACCAAATTCTCAATTACAGTAGCGACAAGCCAAGAACTCACAAAATCAACTGCGTACAAACTTTATTCAAGAGGGCGAGAACACAATGCAACACACTTGCAGCGCGGAAAAATATCTGAAGACTATCTTTCAAAAGAATGGCTACTCAATCAACTTCATCAAAAAATATGAACCAAACGCATCAACAGAAACAAAATCAGATACAGAGACCAACAACCTGATTACCCTACCATATATATTTAGGCATATCAGAAATTGCGACGAGATTGTTAAAGCCTTTTGGAATAGGTATAGCACACAAACCAACAAAATCACTCCAATCAATCTTATGCAAACCAAAGAACGAAATGACAAAAGAAGAAGCGAAGATCATCCACAAAATAAACTGTTCCAACTGCCAAAAACACTACATCGGACAAGGTGAACTACCTCATCATCGCCTGAACGAACATCAATTAGGGGTCGAACGCCATGACATATCCTCCTTATATCAATGCAAGTGGACAACTGCGGATATACATTCGACTGGGAAAATGGTGAGATCTTGTATAGAGAAAATTCTAAAAACACCAGAGACTATTCGGAAGCTTGGCACTCAGGTCAATCAGCGATCAACAAGCACATTGAAATCGAACCAATTTATCAACCAATCAAAAACATTATGGACAAATATGGGACTAAAAATCAAATCAATGGCAGACGCAATCCAAATAAAGAAGTAAACAATGACAGGTCAAGGGTCACCAATAACCAATCAGGACCGATGCCAACATGACAAGCTGGGAGACACATGTGGAGAAATTCGAACACTTCACTTCTGCTCGAATCTTGTGCTGATGATGTCGTTCACAAGAACGATGAAAGCTTTACGACCAAACCATCTAGCTCACAGAAGAAAGTCTACAAGATAGTCTGTACCCATCTACATGGTTTAGCCCAATAGTTAGTGTCTTCATAGACAGATGAGTTGTATTTGTTTGGTCGATCCTAGCTTGTTTACAACCTACCCCAACTTCAGCCATCACCGATGTAGTTTGTGGATGGGAATACATAATGTCTTGGTTAACAAAGGCTCACTAATTTGCTAATCGATGTCTCATACCTGGTAATCTACGTCTAATCATAAAATTGGTAATTTAATAGTTCCGAAATATACGAGCGATTGTTCGAAGACATCTGTGACCGAACAATAGCAATCTACGAATATCCTCCAACTTTTACGGCAACGTTTTCAAGCCATTATGTAGAATAGAACGAACTACTGGACAGTAAACTCATCCTTTGGTTAACAAACAGATCCTTATTACGCCACAAGTTGGCAAAAGCCGATCGAGGTTTCTGAATTCGTGCCGAGACTTAATCAGACACCAGCCCATTAGGGCTGATGAAATTTTGAAGATAATTGAAGCGACTGACGCACATCTTACAATTAGTTTAGGCGTTGATGCGTAGTTTAGATCCTCAGTAATATCTGTCTTCCCCAAAACAAAATAATGAACGATTTAGTGAGCTACTGTACTCAACTTTTAAATGTGCGTTTCATTATAAATAGGTATTTCGCAGTTTCCGAATGCTGCTGATAAGATGTTTATTTTCTAAGGCAATTAATTAATTCGATGAAAATATAATGGCAAATGTGTGCCAAGATTATTCGACAGAAACTTAAATTATCAGATCATAATATTAGACACTCGTAGAAGCCTAAAAGAATGGGCATTATGGACAAAATTCTTCAAACAAAACAGATATTCAAAAATGAAGAATATTTGAGCGAACAATTGTTTTCAATAACTTCATCATCAGGATCTACAGTTATAAGTCCATAATTATAATATTTTACAAAGGCCAAAAATAAGGCATGTATTAATGAGTTTGACAATGTTATGTGTTAAAAATTGGTGAACGTTTGCATCTGTTACGATATATATATATACTTCAAAAGATTGTAATATTTGCAAATTAGAAAGATCATTCAATAAAGGTCAGTAAATTGTTCAGTCACAATAAGATAGTGGTACTATTGCAAAATTGAAAATAATTTTGTCAACTGAGATAATAATAATAATGTTGTGTGAATATAATATGTAATAAGGGGGTTGTTATCAAGGTAATTACGGTCAACAAATTGGGAATGATGGATATGAAGATTAAGATATAGATAATGAAAAATAATGATAAAAAGGAAAATAAATAAAAATGAAGGAAGGGGTAAGAGGTTTATAATATTCAGTCTAGGTATTTGGTGATCCAGTCGTAGGCCAGGGTAAACATAGAGGCTGGATATATTTTTTCTGGATGCATAAGTTAGGTCTTCTGGAGTTGATCCAGATGGCTTCGGCTGTGTAAAGCAGTCGTAATCTAGCTCCTTGAGGTAGATATTTTGGAACTTGATATAAAACAGAGAAAGCTTCCTCTATTTTGATATGATGTTCACTATCCACCAAGTGAGAATGTTCCTGTTAATCGATTTGGTGACTCCTTTTCCCAACCATGCTGGTACATGTTCACGAACACGCAAGGATAAAGCCCTCTGAGTACGGCCTATGTAACTAGCTCCACAGGAGCAGTTGAATTGGTATACACACATGGAGGAGCCCATCTTCGGTAACTTATCCTTGATTAGTTGTGTGAGTACTGGTTTAGTCGAGAAAGTTATGTGTAACTTGGCGGCATGAAACGTCCTGTCGACAGATCTTTTGAGTCGACGTGTTAGAATATCACCCGCTATGTCGGCTTTAAAGTCAAGTTTCAGAAATAAGGTCTTTTTACTGACTGTGTCGCAATGTCCTCTCTTTTTAATACTTTGTACGAGGTATTTTTTGACGAAATTATCAGGATAGCTATTATTACGTACTGTGTTCTTTAGTATAACTATTTCTTCCTCCACACTGTCTTCAGAACATAATAACTTGATTCTGTGTTTGAAACACTTAACCAAATTTATTTTATATTGCAGAGGTGTGAAGCTTTGGAAATGGGTATACTGACCCGTCCATGTACACTTTCTAAACATATTTCGCTTTATGGAACCATCTATCCTTCTAGAGAGTCGGACATCTAGAAAAGCTATACTATTGTCCTTCTCCTCGCTGGTGAATTTAATGGCTGGGTGAACATTATGGAAAGCGCCTAACATCTCCTGTTTGTCGATATTTTCGTCACATATGATTAATGTGTCATCTATGTATCGACAGTAATAATCAAGCTTATTTAGGATGTCTTTAAGCGGTCCATTTTCTAGTTTGGTCAGAAAAATATTAGCAAGGATCGGGCCTAGAGGTGATCCCATTGCTACCCCATCTACTTGTCGGAAAAATTCATTGTTAAACTTAAAGTAGATATTCATAGTGCATTTCAAGAGAAGTTCTTTCATTTTGTTTATTGGGATAGGAATCTCTATTTTCTTTTCTATCAGTTGTTCACATATGTAATCTATAGTTTCAGTCAGAGGGATGTTAGTGAACAAAGATGTTATGTCTAGTGATAGCATGGTTTTTCCATTTATATTCATATTTTTAATTGTATTAACAAATTCAAAGACGTCTTTAACATTATGCTTAACAAGTTCTTGGTGCAATGGTTCTAAAAACTTAACTAACCATTTTGCTGTTGAATGGTATGGTGAATTTGCCATATCCAGTATCGGGCGTAGAGGAATATCAGGTTTACGGATCTTAGGTAGACCATATAGTCGAGGGGTATGTGTTCCAGAAGGCTTAAGCATATTATAGGTACGCTCAGAGATGTGTTGGTGTTGATTTAGGAATTTTAATGCTGCAGTTAGTTGACGTTCGGTCTTTTCATTGAGGTCTTTACATGACCCAAGCTTTTGGAATTTAGTTTGATCACTCAGTAGTGAATTCATGTTATCTATGTAGTCTATCTTGTTCAGAATTACCGTGCCCGATCCTTTATCAGGTTTAGTGATAAGAATGTGTTCATTCAACTTGAGTTTCCGGATGGCCTCACGATATTGTTCATAAAAAACTAACAAAAGGGTGAAAACTAATCACACTAGTACAGTAGTCTCCAATTTATTTGGCGAAAAATACGCTGTTTAGTTTTGCTGAATTATTCTCAATGTTGCCTTACCTGCTGCCACATATTAAATCAGTCCAACTGTCGAACACTGGAACATTTAACTGGGTTATATCACTTGCGGAAAAAACTTTTGGCAGTTTAACTAAAAATACACATAATTACTAGTGCTTTCTGACATCATTTAAGTTCAAAAACGAAAAGCGAAAGCCCTGGCAATGAATTAAATCCGATAACTTACAGCAGACGGCATAGTACCCATGGCTGGAGTTGGTAAACTTTCTCCAGGAATCCCCGTTGGAACAGAAGGTGCGTTAAAGTCTTCATTTAAATACGTTGTATCAGAACCTAGCTCATCACACAAACCCATCAATTCTTGTTCCAGATCATTTTCATTTATATCGGGTGTCGCGTAGGACTGACTGAGAATATTTTGTAATTCATCAGTTGAGACTAGTAGATCAGCTAAATCGTCTTGAAGGTCCTATCGAAAAACAATGAAAGGAAAGATGTAAGACCTAAGTGCACCAAACAATATAGAAACTTCGATTAACACGTAACACCTACCTAGTAAACGATACCGAAAATAATCGCCATAATTTAAAAATAAACATCGAAACGAACTTTGAAAAGGTCACTACTTATACGAAACATGAAAATATCATCCAGCTATTTAATAATTTAACATAGTGCCTGACGTTTAATTTGGATATCGTCCATTCACCATTTCCTTTACATACAGCCAGTACGTTTAATGTGGCATGCGAGGTATGTTTTAACAAAAGACAAAGAAATCTGAAGGAAACCCATAGTACTTCCGCATTAATGTGGATATTTTTGTACCTGGAAACGTGAGAGCGAAATTAATATACTTTCATAATACTAATTCTTATCACGAATATCGTTTGACTAGATGATTAAAAACTGATAAACTGAAAATAGGCCCTGATAATTTACTTTGATCAATCAAACTGAATTTGTCGTTACGTGATATGTGGTTCAAAAACTTGAATACGAGTGTTTATCGGAAATTGGTGAACTGTACTATAATTTTCTGACGCCCTTGTATGAGGATAGCTATTTTCTGCTTCGGTCTGGGCACCCGGGCAGTATCTCAGCACGCACACAAAAACATGATGAACTGTCTACTTCTGAAAAATATTCCTCTCGCTCCAAATAACAATCAAGTGACTCGCATTATTATTATTTACTACGTCATTATTAACCCTCTTTTATTACCGCTCTGTTTATAATTATTTTTTCGACTTATACAGCAGGTCGACTTTGGTGGAAATTCGACAGTATCTAAACGTTCTCGAGTCACTATCCGGTTGAAAATTGTATGTTACCACTGAATATGAGTACTGAAGCAGTTTTTCTGAAACCACATGCACCATTCAAACTGGCTGCCTTCAACGTTCGCACACTTATGCACGTTGGACAACAGATAGAACTGGCTATGTCTTTGCAAAGACTTAATTTCGATGTTTGCTGTCTATCCGAAACCCGTATTCAAGACTCTGGTGAAGTACTACAAATTCGCTCTCCATCTGTCGCTTCGAAAAGCTTGTTTTACGTGCGTTTATCCGGGGACCCTGTGGCATCTTCGTCTGGTCTTGCTGGCGTTGGTGTCGCACTAAGTGCTAGAGCTGAGGCAGCACTAATCGATTGGATCCTCATTAACAGTCGGTTATGTGCTGTTAGATTAGAAAGTCCCATCAAAGTGAGAAGAAATCGGCGTGAGAAACGATGTATTTTCGTCATATCCGCTTATGCCCCGACAGATTGCAGTCCGGATGCAATCAAAGATGAGTTTTACCACCAGTTATCTGTTCTTCTCCAGAAAGTGCATTCGACAGATATTGTAGTACTAGCCGGAGACTTGAATGCTCAGGTCGGGCGTATAGGCACAGAAGAGGATTGTTTAGGTGGTCGATGGGGACTTGTTGGTCGCAGGACAGATAACGGGGACCGTCTACTGCAACTGTGCACAGACCACAACCTGTTCCTGGCTAGCACTAACTTTCGGCACAGTCATCGCCGATGTGCCACCTGGCGTCCTCCCTCTGCATCCAAAGCCTGGACTCAGATTGATCACATCGCGATCAGCTACCGCTGGCGTGGTTGTGTACAAGAATGCAGCTCCTTTTGGAGTACCTATCTGGACTCTGACCATGCCTTGGTCTGCGCCAATCTTACCTTACTTTTCAGTGGACAACGAAGTGACCGCCACCAACGGATTGATGTTAGCAAGCTGGTTGCAACTTCTGTTGCTAGTAAGTATCGAACTGAGCTAGTATCTAGGCTAGCTACCATTCCACCGAAAAGCATAGATGAGCATTGGTTGCAATTGCATGACCCCATCAAAATGGCGGGTACAGTCAGTTGTGGGTTCGCGAAACGTCCCGCTTATAAGCACTGGGTTTCTTCAGGTTCCTTACAACTCATTGAAGCCCGTCGGTCTACTCCGGGTGACCGTGAGTTTGACCACAAACGAAGGATGTTACGTAATCGAAATGAGGCGGAAGTCCGCAAAGAACTCCAACTCTTCAAGCGCTACAAATCACCTGGCCTAGATGACTTACCTCCGGCTCTTTTTAAAGATGGTGGTGACTTTCTGACTAAGGAACTGACGACGTTGTTTACAAAGGTCTGGGAGCTCGAGAGTGTACCAACGTCATGGAATGAGTCGATAGTTGTCCCTATCTTTAAAAAGGGTTCACGTCGTTCCTGCAACAACTATCGGGCAATAAGTCTACTTCCGATTGCGTCCAAGCTATTGGCTTCCGTCATACTTGGTAGACTGTTCAAAACCCGAGAAAGATTGGCTCGCGAGGAGTAGGCTGGGTTTCGTTCTGGTCGAGGATGTATTGATCATATCTTCACCCTCCGCCAAATGTTAGAACACCGTCATACTTATCAAAGGCCAACAATCGTAGTGTTTCTTGACATCAGGTCTGCCTTCGATTCGTTGGATAGGACTGTTCTCTGGGATTGTCTATTGAACATGGGTGTGCCTGAGAAGTTTATTAACATCCTAAAAGCCCTATATACAAACACCTCAGGCAGAGTGAGGACATAGAACCACCTCTCTCCATTGTTCCATTCAAGCAGTGGGGTTAGGCAGGGTTGCCGAATCTCACCATTCCTCTTCAATTTTGCCATCGATGACATTCTGGAAACAGCTCTGATGGATGTAAGTAATGGTGGTGTGGATCTCTTGCCTGGAGAAAGACTTCTCAACATTGAGTACGCGATAATGCCCAAGCCATACAATCCGCCATTAATCAGTTGGAAATCAGTGTCCGTAGGTATGGTATGTGCATTGCACCTTCGAATTGCAAATTACTTCTACAAGACTGGCAGAATTCTAATCCTGTACTCACCCTGGATGGTGAGCAGATAGAAGTGGTCGAAAAGTTCGTGTATCTAGGTAGCTACATAAGTGCTGGTGGTTGCGTGAGTGATGAGATCAATGCACGTATAGTGAAAGCCAGAGCGACTTATGCCAATCTGGACACCTTTGGCGCCTTCGTGCTGTTAGTCTGGCTGTAAAAGGTCGGATCTACAACGCGTCGGTGAGAGTGGTTTTGCTCTACGCTTGTGAAACCTGGCCTCTCTGAGTTGAGGACGTTAGACGACTCTCTGTGTTTGATCATCGCTGTCTCCGAAGAATTTCTGACATCCAGTGGCAACACCATGTCAGTAATGCAGAGGTTCGGCATCGTGTGTTAGGGCACAGAGATGATAATGCAATAGATGTCATCATCTTGAAACACCGACTTCGGCGGCTTGGACATGTTCTACGAATGTCGTCCCATAGAATTCCACGTCGTGCATTATTTGCCGACTCTGGGACTAATTGGAAAAAGCGGAGAGGTGGTCAGTGTATGACATGGTGTCGTGGTATGAAAGTAAGCTGCAAAGGGCTGGCTTGTGTTGGCCCTTCACGACTCCCTGGTTGGGGTCCGAGAGATGGTGCAACACAGCCGTTGGAGACGTTATCAGATAAGGCTCAGAATAGAAGCCAGTGGCGATCCTGCTGTAACTTTCTTTTACTTTCTTCATAAAACGTGGTTGTATCTTACTTAACTGAAAGATTTCTTCTGATTGTACCTTTCCGTTCCCCCATTATTATTATTACTACACTACCTTGCACCAACCTCTTCGTTATTGTTCTCTTTTTTTTGCACTCCTTACCTTTTTTTTCTTCCTCTTCGAATTCTCATTGTTTTGTGTGGCGCATATATATTGGCGCTCTCTTGTACCAATATTTATGTGTTCAAATAAATAAATAAATAAGTTATTTTCTAACTAGTCTCCTGGATGAAATTGCTCCTGACTAATCATAAGCCACTAAGTCATGTTGCATTTCATGAGATTTAGAAGTTTCAACTTGATGTCAGAATACATTAGTCAAGGTAGATCTATAGACCATACCACATACTATGCAAAAGCTAGAGGAGACATATTTACATTTAATTCTCTATAATATTTCTCACTATAATATCAGATATGAAAGACAACGAGAGATAGTAAAACAGACAAAACCTTGAGAAATATTAGGTCAAGAGAGGAAATTAGTCAACGGACTCAGTATTAAGTCTTGACATGTGTAATATTTTTAGTTGGTGTCAGACAACCATATTCACATATTAAGAACTAAGTAATAAAGCTCAGAGACGGTTGATATTGTATGAATGCACTCATTTTCACAGCATCACTCTACATCTTTTGCTACCGACTGTTTCTCGTCTTCAGCCGTCACATCTCTGTACAGTCAGCAGTATGACTTCGCTCTCCGACCAAGGGTTTGCTGCTTTTAATCTTACCGTACTCCAACCGACCTGTTTGGCATGGTAGGACCTCGAGATACGATAATTCCGGGCAGTATAGTCAAATTGGTTTATCGCGTCAGGCAAACTCAACCATCACGTCAATGTAGCAGCAATGGCCAGGGGCGTCTTGAAGACCTAGTATGGAATCTAAACCTTCTGACATCTCTAGGACCAACAATAAGCAACTCCAAGAGTTGGTCGCATGTTTCAGTCTGCACTGTTTTTTCAGCCAAATCATGATGAAGCGAGGATCACACATACGAGTAATTTGTGACTTGGCTCTTGAAAAATGTATCTCGGTTACCTGGATTGTTTGAATTGTATAACCCTTCTAATTGACTCTTTATGATTCTACAATAATCTTGCTGACTTTTCTTAGGTGTGATGTTAAGTTTGGCAATTAATACTCGTAATTCTTTAGGATAGATCCAATATTTGTATTTACCAGACTGAATCTCTAGTCTTATTCGAATGGTATATGTATATATTTTTTAACAACTTTGATATTAGTCGAACATGCATCCAGAAGTATAAAGAATTTAGTTCATAGCTGAATTGAAAGCATATATCAATTACTGTTGTGTTCTAAAGCTCTGACCGCACGTAACAACCCACAGTTATAACAAAACGTTAACGTCAGGTTCGAATGGAGACTACAATTTATGGACGCACCAATCAAGTATACGATAACAGGAAACGGATTTTGGCGCGAAATTCGCTCATCCATTTGGTTAAATAAAGTCATGACATCATAGCTGATGTTAGTTCGTGATTAAAACCTTAAATTTAATTTCAAACCTTAACCGTCAACTGTAAATCATCATTCGAGCTCCTTATACTAATTTATAACCCTCATTTGGCCTTAGTTATTAGGTGAACACTCTCAAATTCAGTTGTGTCGCTCAAAGGTCCATATATGATGTTAGCTACATTTAGCTCGATGGACAGAAAAGGAGAGCTTCAACGAAGTAGGACTAGCATGGTCTTACGTAAAACTGTTTGATACTAACGGCGTAAACTTACTTTTATAGACAAGCAAGTGCCTCTGGTACAAAATTAATGAATAAACCATTGACACACAATTATGATCCTAAAGATATTGCTTCCCACAAAGATTTCTATAGACTACAAAATTGCAAATGGTACCAGATACATCCACACTAGTGGACTTACTTCCACATTATTTAGGTTAATTTTTTTCATCTCCAGTTTTAATTCTTTGGCACCGACTTTCATGGCATCCACTGTAACTTTGGTATCACGCACGGTCTGGATAGCAAAATTAGTCTGTTCCATATTAAAACTTTGGTTGGAAAGTTGTTCCTTTTGATTTTCATACACCTTCTTTTGCTTTAAAATTCTTAAAGCCTTCATTTTGACGCTCTCTTTAGCAGGACCGTCTCTCATCTTTTGCATTTGTAGTTTATATTTTTTAAGTTCCTCATCCAGTTTATCGATTTTTTTATCAACAGATTCGGCCCGGCTATCTACCTAAAATACCTAAATATTCAAATTTTGACGCAATTACATTGGAAATCACATCAGTCAGATTTGGAGGGGGCTGCTTCGGTTTAGCTTGTCCGAAGATCCGGTTCATAACTTTAACGCGGCACAACTGAGTTGCGCGGGTAACCTTAGCTATTCAGAAAAACTGCAGACAGTTAAAAGTTCAAAAACCACTATCAGTTTTGCAATGACAAGACTCTTTGGTGGTCTGTGTTATTCATGACAATAATATTCTCTCAACTGATTTATCTTCTTTTCAAAAGAGTTCACAGATGAGCTTTCAGTCACATATTTAGGTAACGAGATACCGGTCTCATAAAAATGTTCATCATAATCACCTTTTACTAATAATGTTGTTCTTACTGCTTCCCCATTATAATGAGGTGATGTTTTTCTCATCGGTCCTCTGGTTTATTTACGAATATGAGCACTTCAGGTATTATATAGATTTCGTAACAAGATTTACGTCATACATTCTTCCAGCCTAGAGTAAGGTCAAGGCACAATAAGAAGTAGCTCGTCCTCTTGCTGAACAGACATATAAGAGATGCCAACAACGATTAACATGGGATTTGGGAGAATACGTCGCAGTTAAGGAGTCCGGTAAGACAAAGTGTCATCAAGTAATTATTTTTTTAAATTTTTATGGTCAGTTGCGAAGTTCAATTTATTGCCATGTGTGGGCTGTTCTTGATCCTTAACCAAATTACTTATATGCGCAATATCGTCATTTAATGCAGTAGTGGCGAAGTTTTTTAAAATATCACCGTTTCGTAAACAAACCTATCTGCACTGTCGGTTGTCGCAACACTCGTATTTAATGCTGTGGAGTTATACTGTTTAATTATCAACATTTTGGTCAGTATTCTGCAAACTTTGAGTAACTTTAAAAATGATAGAAACGTTCAGATGGTTAAGAAAAACAAACGGTTAACACAGTAAACTGAAAAAGACCAAATTAGAAATTAACCGGAGTTTACTGTGCTCAATGTATTCCTAATGAAGTGCCTGCTTGAGCATCTGGGCTACCTGTTCTTGCCATCTACATATTTCAACAAGTTATCTATTTTTGTTTGTTTTAATATATCGTTATGTCTATTAATCGCATAACCTATTCTGCTGCGTTTCTGAAAAGTGTACAACCTTTCGTTGTCAAAGTTACAGAAAACTCAATAAGAGACAATATGGTTGCTGGCAATGTACAACGAAAAGAATGTACATTATTCAGTTGTTCATTCACTGAAGTGCTAACATCTAACTGGCGATTCCTCAATATTTATCGCCAGGACCGACCAAGAAGAAAGAAACGGAAACTTGTTGAAATACTTCGCGCTGAGAATTCTATATCGTACCAAAAATATAATATTGAATAAAGCTGATAATAATAATAACAACAATAATAATAATCTGATCTAAACAGGAATCAATAGTATACAAAAATAATATACATAACGACTTGCTTAGAATGTCTTTATTTAACAAAACAGTGCAGTTTAAAATGCATACTGATCAGCCAATAATGCTGTACTGTTCAGTTGTTCCGATAAAACATTAAAATCATACACGTAATAGGAGTGATATTGAACCATAGCTGCCCTGAAAAAGTCTTATGATGGTGGACCTGGCGGGATCCCTTCATCATTTGTGAAATATGGAAGTAGAGAATTTCCACTATTTTGTTTGAAACTTTCCAATCTATCTATGGAATATCGAACCTATCCATCTGTATGAAAAACATCCCTTATCACCCCTAGATTCAAAACAGGATCACGTAGTAATATTATTAACTATAGGCCAATTAATTTGACATCCGTGCTCTCAAGAACCATGGAAAAAATCATCTACAAACAGCTATTAACATTTTTACTTTCAGCTAGTTTGATTAGCCCATCTCAACACGGGTTTATGACTAAACGCTCATGTTTCACATCACACCTGAGGTTTTTGATCAAATTACCCAGAGAAGAGTTGTTGATCAGTCAGTGATAGTTCTTTACATCGATTTTAGTAAGGCTGTCGACAGCGTCTCACACAAACTTCTTCTTTTAAAACTCTCTTCATTCGGCATACAGAATCCTTTTTTATCTTGGTTCAAATCTTTTTAAGAAGAACGTAGCCAAATCTTTCGCTTTGGATCTTGCTACTCTAAACCTGTAAATGTAACCAGTGGAGTTATACAAGGAAGTGTGGTTGGTCCATTACTCTTTCTCCTTTTTATCAATGATGTGTGTTCCCTCTTTCAGTATGGTAAGCCTTTCCTTTTTGCTGATGACCTGAAAGTAGTTTATTCATTCTCTTCTCCCACGAAAGAAAGCTATATTTCAGCGGTAATCCAAGAGGAAATAAACAAGTTGTACGAATGGACTATTTCGTGGAATATGCCACTTAATGTTGACAAAAGTGGATTTATTCACATTGGTCGCTGTCTTAACTTAAATCTGACTGTACAGACACATACACTCAAACCTCTCAACACTGTTCGTGACCTGGGTTTAAGATATAGCAATGGTCTGAACTTTTCTGAACACATTATATCTCAAGTATCCAAAGCTAGAAAGCTGATCGGATTGATAATGATAAACTTCAATAATATCGATTCGAGGTTGTTACTATACAGAAAATGTATCTTACCCATTCTTGAATATGGTATTTTAGTTTACAGTAATTGTAGACATAATGACCTGATTAGAATTGAAGGTGTTCAAAGAAAGTTCACCAAAGCTGTTCTGGGGTATTCCGATAACAAAGACTATCACCAAAGATGTCACCAACTCAACTTAGAACTTCTTTGGATCAGATGTATGAAATTAAACCTTGTCTTTATCTACCAGCTTATTAACGGTATTTCCTACTCTTCGGTATCCACCCCTTCATATCTTATGATATCATCCCACAATCTACGCAATAAGGAGAATATTCTGGCGTTTTCAAGAACCCACACAAACTTACGTCAGAATTTTTTCCTTATTCGCTACTCAACCATATGGAACAGACTGCCAGTGAACCTCCGTTGCAGTGAAACTACAACCGGGTTCAAAAGTCTCCTTGACGATTTTCTTTCAGAAAGTGGATTATGTCACCTATTGAATATCAATGTATTCAATAATGATTTATACAACCAAGGCCCATCATCCATTTAATTGCTTGAAAAGCAAAATAAAACCTTTAAATCTTTTCACGTCTATCTTGTTTTATTTCCCTTTATCTTAATATATGAAGTCTGCTTATGTACATGTTTATCATTATTACCGTTATTAATATCATTATTAGTTCCCCGACACATTAGATATTCCTTTTACATCTTCTTATCCTTCTTAACATATTTAATTCCCGACTGTCCTTTGAAATTAATTGTGACTTTCATAGCATCAATCTTAATTATTATTTCACAAATATTTATCCTAATATCCGGTTTCACTCTGTATACTATTACATAAATCTAAATGTATTTATCCGAGTGCATTAAAGGATTTTTATTTTATTTTTCTAAATTGTTGGTTTCCTTCTGAGGTTGATATTCATTACGCAATTATTATTCTTATCATGGATGAAACTTTTCATTAGGTGTTCACTTCTTTTCTCTCCTCTCTCCCTCTAAATAAATATTCTTGAGATTACGAAGTTTGTAATTAAGACAATAACTTGTGTTACACTTAAATTAACTTCTCAGACCCGTTTTATCTTCACTATGCATATATGACTCATACATATTGATATTTCACTCAATTGAGACTTTCATCGCATCACTCCAAACTATGACTGCACAAACATTTATTCTGGCGCCATATCTTACTACAATAATTTGTTTTTTCTTAATTATTTTTTGTTATCAATTTGACGTTATATACATAATCGTTTGTTCTTGTTTTATGTTCATAAACACGCCAATTAAACTGTTTGCGTATTTCATGTCTCCTTTATTTCTATTCCCTTATTCTCTCCATTTCCTTCTTTAAGCTCAATTCAATATTCTTCTCAATTACACAGACTCGATATATTATTATTAATATTCTGCTACTCTTACTCTAATTTTTTTAAAATGGCAAGTATAATGCTACCATTATTGAAAATTGTGTAATATTGCATTTTTGAAGAAACCCGAAATGGTTTCTTCACAGCACTTATGTACCCATAAGATGTTTGTGAATAATAATAATAATAACCTGTGAAATAACACAAGTCCCGGTAACTTTGTATGAAAGAATATATTTCGAATCAATAAACTAGCACAACATTTATGAGTCCAGCTGAAAATTGGAAACCAACAGTTATTTGTCAACCCTATAAAAATCTATGAAAATAAAGCAATACCATATACATATAATATACCGTTTCGATAAATTTAGGATTGTAGACAATTTCATATTCCGACTCTCATTTGCTTACTTTGTTTCTAGAGCCTTGGCAAAAGGAGGCGTAAACGTAGATGACCGCATTTTTTAAGTCTTTTCCCAACATGGGACGACTTTAAAAATGTGGCACTATTTGCCGTATCATAACATAATTGACTCTTGACATAGTTGATTTATGATGATTCTGTCCTACTGATCTTCGGCTGTTCAATCAAGTGAGCCGTAATGTATAGTAATCTTAGCTTACACAATGATCACAGTATTTTCATTAAGTCCATTCTGACTTCATGTCAAAACTATTTTTTCGAGTTCCCAGAGATTGTGTTAGCAACCACGTCTGTATATACAGCACCAAGTAGCTTGAAATGCATCCTCTAAAGATTTCGTCAACAGTCATATATCTGCCAACAAACAAAATCCCAACAGTTCTGGGCGTTAATAACAGCTGTAAAGTCGTATAAATGTTATGGCCAGGATGCAAATTAAATATTAAAATTTCACATGAATATAAGTGTTCCTAAAATTCACTTGTTACCTACCCTTTGTAAAGTGAGCGACTGTGATATGGATGTTATAAAGATGGTTTTTTGAGGATTAAATAAATAACTTAATAAGTGGATACTTATCTAGTAATAAGAGAGGACGTACCAACGGGAATATGACAATATTGGTAACAATTCATTCTCGAATAGTAATACGTTGCACGGGGTATGCCACGATGCATGCATGATCGAATTGA